AGTGTGGTTGTAGTAATGGAGGTAAAACTTCTTTTCGTATATATTTTTCTTTTCGTTTTTTTGAGGTTAATTACGCGAACAATAAGGGACGACTTTTCAGACGGTCGCATAAGGGCTACCCTGCGCGCACAGGCCATTCGATCTTTCTCTTCCCGACTTATCTAGGAAGATCGAAGGGCCTCTGGGTACATAAGGGCGGAAAGGGGACTTCAATTCTTTCCCGCCAAATTCCTGTTAAATAAATTCTTTACGCATTCCAGATATCTTAGAAAACGTTTTCGCTACGGTATAAAAAGGCAAAAACTTTAAGTGCTATAGTGATTAACTAGTTCTGTTTAAAACAGCTAAGAACTCCCCAAGTGTGGTTGTAGTAATGGACTAAAACTTCTTTTCGTAGTGAGTATATATTTCACGTTTAATAGTCTTTATTCTGGGCCTTTTCAGCTATTTGCTACATGATGGTAATATAAATTCGTTTAAGAACAAGTCGCTGACTATAAAAACCATTGGAATTTTTGTGCAGTCAAACGACTTTGCCATACAACTTGTTGTGGTGGCGGACTATCTGGTATTTGTCCACTTATACTACTACATGGTAAATTTCTGCAATCTGATTGGCTTAGAGCAGTGGTATTTCAGCTTAATTTGAAATACCTACATTTGAAAATTACAAACCTTTTGCGGGTAGTAGTATAAACAAATAATAGCATGATTTGTATGTGATATTTGGCATAAATACCACCCGTGATATTTCAAAATTGTCTCAAATTTCGGTCGCCTAACGGGTCATGAAATTACGTATAACAATTTTGAAATATCACTCGTGGTATTTATGCCAAATATTACTACTAACCATGCTATTACCTATACTAATTGCTAACATCGAATCGATGTAACATATAGTAACGTGAGGCAACAGTTAGGACGTAATACAGAACAGGGAATGCATTGTTTTCGAGCGAACACGTAATACAGATCAGAGAATCCACGAGCCGTGTGCTTGTTTGTGAGTCCCGTGCTCATCCCGTCTTCAACCAGTCGTCGGGCGGGATATTCATTTGCATCATACACGATAGTTGTCGCATTTGCCCGCTGGAATTTTTTAGTGCCTGCCGCTAAGAAAAAACAACGCTGTAAAGCTGATTGTCTTCGGAAGGCTTCATCGATGCACCATAAATTTTATTTAGCTTTACAAAGAGAGCAAATATAAATCTGTACGTTGAATATTCGCGGACTTAAATACAATTTTTCGAGGATTCTAAATTGGCTTATATAAGACCACTAAATTTCCCGCAAAATGAAATGTGCGCAACTTCGGACAAAAACACGTCAATATTTCGAAAAATCTGCTATGTTAAGTCGGGACTTCAGATTCTTTATGCAGTAGAACAGTTTAATTCACCATTTTCAAAAGACAAACTTAAAGCAAGGGGCAGACATACAACAACCCATGATCCGCCTTTGCCGCGCATGTCGTGGTAGAACTGCCGTGCAGTTCCCAGCCAACAGCTCCCACATGTGTTGTGTGGAGCTGGCGCTTAAAGGAGTGCTTTGCACTCGCCTCGGTAGTAGGCAGGTTTTCCCAGTTCATGCTGATGAACCTCAATAAACGCCAAACTGCTGTCCGTGGTTGCTACTTCCCGCGTGATATGGCTGTGCGCATGCGTAGGTTGGTGTATGTGTGCCCCTTGCTTGCACTATTTTCAAGGTAATTTTTCGTTTATGCAATCAGTTCAATCTATTTTTCATACATTACTGTAATTCATGACATTTCTAAACAAATTGAACAACGCGCGAATATCGATAAAATCTTTGCTCGTTGGCACTTAGCGATAGCTGTAACTAGTTATTCACTTAATGTCTTTATTTCTAACAACCTCAAAATCCAATATTTTCCAATTTTCCGAAAATTTAATACCCCGCCCCCTAATTTTTCGACATTAAAAACAGTAGTGGGGAGAATTTGTTGAAATATTTACCAGATTCATCTCCCTGATCATGTCCTCAGGTCTCATGACCAATCCGTTTTAGAAAGCATTGATTGTGAGGAGAAATTTCATACTGATCACTCTTTAACGGCTAAAGGGTTAATTGCGTCCGTTTTCAATTAAAACTGTTTGATTTATCATTATGTTTAAATTAATTGACTGCATAGTTTCTACAGTGGTACAAGTTTGAAAATAAAACGGATGCATTAACCTGGCTGATGTTTCCGTTAAGTTTCGCATTATTAGGATGAGAAACACAAGGAATTTAGGATAGGACAAAAAATTCGGCACACCAAGCCCGCACATGCACGACACACGTATAAAGCATATTTTAGACAGCATGTCATGTCGTATTTAAAGTAATTGTTGATGAGAAAATATATCATAACTTGACAATTTCTGAGGTTGCATGATGACAGCTTCGTATAGTCAAATCTTTTAAAATTGCTCGTATTTAATTTGCATGAAGAAATAAAGTATTTAAAGAAAATACAGGACTTTTAGAAGAATTCTGATAATCTGATAATTGAACATACATGCACATCTTTAGGCTTATTTCTTCTTCCGCGTCATAATCTAGTACCAAAAAATCCTCTTCCATAGCATCTTTATAAAACTGGCCGCTAGGAAACACTGGCCGCTAGGGAGCAGAAACGGCGCCGTGGTGAGGGCACTCGCCTTCCACAAATGTGGCCCGGGTTCGATTCGCGGACTCGACGTCATATGTGGGTTGAGTTTGTTGTTGGTTCTCTTCTCTGCTCCGAGAGGTTTTTCTCCGGGTACTCCGGTTTTCCCCTCTCCGCAAAAACCAACATTTCTAAAATTCCAATTCGATCCGGAATGCTCGAGCGTTTAATGCATGAGCCCCTGGCTCGGGAGATTGGGCAACCACTCCTCACGCTATCGAGCTTAATTTACAGTTATATGCGACAATACTTAAATAAACACTGAAATTTCGCGCCAAAATTTCGGAGCAATTTGCCATCCATAATAGTAACACTTCATAAGTAAAATGATATTATCATATATTTTTGTTACTTGATACCGATAAGATAAACTTTGAATATGAAACGGTGTATTACTAACTCTTGTTGTAAATAAGAAAAGGGTGATTTTTTTTGGTCAAAATTATAGACAAGACTCCACTCTCCATTTGAACCTATCCATTTATTTGGAATCAATTACCCGAGGATTTGCGTAAAAGCAAGTCGATTTACTTATATTTAACTTAGTGATATTTTTTATCACAATTACATAATCATGGTTCTAGATATAACATTTTAAGAAACTAATAGATAACATTTTATAACACTTTAAGAAACTAATAATTCTGAGTATGCAAGGCAATGCAAATATATAATGCAAATAATATAAATCCAATTGTATCGTATGTCTTATCCTATCTTAACTTAAGTGGGGAAAGATCTTACAAGATAAAGGTTTCATATGCACGAACAAAAAAATTGAGTTTGTGTATCACTCAGGAGTAATTTGAGAAGGAGAAATGAACTTTATAAGTAGAAAAGAGGCTATGAGTAAAAATTCGTGACATTGCCAATATTCACTGTATCGTTTACTCAATGATTGTTATAAATAAATTGAAGTCAACTAAATTAGTCTCCACCCTTACCAGCCCACTGTCATTGTAAAACATCTATCTAGTCTTAAAACAGAAAATGTCATGAATATATTGTTTAATAAAACCGTTGCATGTGGACGCAGGTGACGTTCGCTGCTTTTTATTGCATGTTTTTGTTCACTTTAAACACCGTTTCTAAGTTTTTATCCGGACATTAATGGTGTTAGTAGGTTGAACACGATTCAGGAAGATATCAGTAACCATTTAAATCAATCTCTGAAACAACTTTGGCCAAGTTATACACTTACTTTTATTTTGTTTATCTTTGTAGGCCCACCCAAATATGAAAACAAGGGAATTCTTTAAATTAAGAAAAGAGAAAAAACGGGGAGTATCTATAGTTTTATATGAATGGACTAATGTTTTTTTATTTAAAGGCTGAATTAGTAGATGAGATTTGGTAATATTTCTATGAATTTTCTTTGGAAGAAATGTAGAAAAAAACCGTGTCTTTCAAATTGGTCACAAAAAGCAAGGATCTTCGAAAGAACAGCACAGTTTGCAGGTCTACAAGGCCAGAGAGGTAAGACTTGTGTTTTCTTTAATGTAGTAAATTAGAGCAATGTTAGCCACTAATGCTGATTTTTATATATCATGTTTAAGAGCAATGATTGTGATAGCGCTTTAGATTTTCGTATAATATCGCTGTTCACATAATCAAAAAAAAAATATTAGTAGTTTGACAGCTGGACTTAAACGTTTTGGAATCTGTTCATCTGGAACGGAACTGAATTGGACATAAATGTAGGATATACATGTTAAGGTTCTAACCGAAGTTGTAAGTGTCGCTGATGCAGTTCCTGATTCGGAATAGAAATGATTAGTATTATTAACACCACTAAGGTGCCACCTAATCCAGACTTAATCGTATCTCTAGAGATTAACACCAGGAAGGCAATAGTATTTTAAGTTGTTAAGTGAAAATCCAAACAGGAAATCTAAATTTTCATTATCATGTCAAATTTAAGGTTAGGTTTCCCTTTCTTCGTAACAACTGCCATTGTTGTCGACGTCAGATGACGTAGTTATTTTCCGATATTTCTGACCTTTCCCAGGTGCCTCAGTTCCATTTAAATTTCTATGAGAAGCCCGCCTAATTTATCAAGGCTAATTTAGTCTTTTTCACTATGTTTAATGTCTGTATTGGATATAAATGCTAGCAAACAGTAAAAATGTTAAGGCGTCTTGTGTAAGGAAAAAAGAGGCCTTAGGAAAAAGATGTTTTACACGGACACACTGATATACGTACACATTTCTCTGCAAATATGTCTTTGTGATATTGCTTTGTTCAGGATTCGTCGGGCCGCGGCCACGAAAATTGTCCTTAAAATTTCATCATCTCATACACCTTGGACATTTTGTTTTATCTTTACAGAAAAATGAGGTCCCATCTCTTTTTGTGTATCGCAATTGTGTTAGTTGCCTTAGTGGCCTCTCGGTCAATCCAAGATGGTGAGTATTGAAAAATCTTAAACGAACCCGGCTTTATAGGTAATTAAAAAAATAAATAAATAAACGACTATATCTGTCACGTAACCTTAAAATTGTGAACTTTTCTTAATCAGCAACAAGTTGATTCTTTTGAAGGGGCTGAGTCAGTTAAGGTCAAGGTAGTTTCGTCCATCTTGTTACGTTTTGTTACTTCCAAATTAATTACAAATAAATTAGTATAACGTTGCAAATTGCTCTGGAAAACAATACAAACTAGTCGTCGTTGACTTTTATAAAATTTATTTTTCTTAGTGTATGGGCAGTTGTTTTTGTTACTTTGTAATAAAGAGATCTTGTTATTATTTTAAAGCTAATAGGCGACAAATTGGAGCCGGTACCTGCAATTTTAAATGTTACAAAAATGTAGATAATTTATTTTTGGATAAACATTTTGTGATAAAAATGAAAGATTAAAAGTCAGGACATTTCGTCCTTGATTGTCATCTTTTTAAAATGCTTTAAAAAAAATTGTAACCAGCACTATATAAACACTATATAAACTGAGTGCCGTTTTTAATTAGCTTTATTATCGCTTTGTTTCATTGTGTTGATTGTTTTATGTCCTTCTTTTCAACTTAAATAAATATTTTATCACTTATTGTTGACATTGTTATCTATTTTAACAATTTTTAACTGTTTCTATTTATGCAAAGTATTTCCCACGCACTTGAAAATTACTTCGGAGAGGTCGAACGCGTGACTTTTTAGCACTTAAACTTTTATCTCAAAATAAAAAAAAAATCATCTTCACCGTACATTTTCGTTATTCACTTTAAATTCGGTTTAACAAATAGGCAGGCATGGACCACAACCTATATCAAAAGAGTAACTTCTTTAAAGATATATAATTAAGTCAAGTTTGTATTGCTTACCAATGCTTTTATATCACAGATCACGTTTAAAGGAGAATCGGAATGAGCTATACGCACGCATAGAAACTTCAACTCCGCGCAAGCTTTGTCTTATTGGTTGAATTTTGCAAAGTAACTATACATAATCAGTCAGTTTTGCGCCATGGCTGTCGTACCAGTAGGTGGGGGAACCGGGTTAAACTGCGGAAATTGAAGCAACTTAATATCCCACGAAGTTAGAAGGAATGAGATGTTAAAGTTGGATCAATCGCATTTTTACATATTTTTTAGCTCTATACAACGGCAATTTTCAACTTAGATGTGCCCTACATTAATGAGGTAATTACATCTCACTCGAGATGGTTACTAAGATATCGATTTCACTAAAGATTAAGTTAATGGCATGTTAGTATATGACAATTCCAAATCCGATTCTAATTTCAAAGCTTAATAGAGAACTAAACTGCAACATCATTCGTAGTGTTTACCTAGTTTTTGTTTTCACAGCTTCAAAGAAGTGTTGTCCTTGTTGTCCTCCCCCACCACCACCACCACCACCACACGTACAACATATAGCAGGAGCTCCTGGACCTGCTGGACCACCCGGTGTAGTTGGTTGTACCGGTCCCCCAGGAGCCACTGGTTGCCCCGGTTGGAAAGGAGCCCCTGGACCAGCTGGACCCCCAGGACCACCCGGAAAACCTGCTCTTCCTGGACCACAAGGACCCCCAGGGGCACCAGGAGCACAAGGACCACCCGGCCCATCAGGATGCCCTGGTCCAAAAGGATGCCCCGGAGTCCCTGGTACCCAAGGACTGACTGGACCACCTGGTCCTCCAGGACCCCCTGGACACCCAGGCACCCCAGCGTCTTGCTGCGGTTAGAAACAGAAACCATAAATACAAGCTGCTGAAATGTTTGAATTTGCGATTTAGATAACTTTTTTTTGCGTTTTACATTTGTGTCATTTTCTTCGTCTTGGAGATATATGTTGTTTTAAGGAAGCAAAAGAAACAATAAATTAGGTATTATGAATCAAAGTGGTTTCATTTAGTCCGTTCAACTTGTTCCTGGTAGAATCCTTTTAGTCACCAGGGCAGCAGCTTTGCAAATTATTGGAACAAAAGAAAACTTTTCAAAACAAAAAGATTCAACTCCCACGGGACTGATTTGGGACACAAACATGGCCGCTGTTTCGCTTTTTTTGGTATACCAATATGGTGGAAAGGACGTCGTTTGAAAATGATCTATGAGTTTTTTTTACGTATACTGTATCTATAAAGTAGCAGTGCGATGGGGTCATAGACAATGACGATGAACTATGACAGTCCTTTTTTCTGGTTCAGCAATGACTAATTTAACTGGAATTTTTTCAGATGATTTCCAGCTTGTTACCTGTAAGCAAATTGTAATTCCTGCGTAATTGCGTTCAGCAATGACTGATTTAACTGGAACCTTTTAAGAGGATTTTCAGCTTTTTGCTGTAAGCAAAATTGTAATTACTGCGTATGTAATTGCGCACATAGAGAAGTAGTACGCGAGCATATCCGGTGATGGGATTCTTACGTTCCTTACTGGCTAAATAAGTAAAAGTATTGCGTGATACAGAATTACCGCTGAGATTCTTTCCTCACTTCCTTAAGATTAATTCGTTTTAAAGGCTCATTGGCAAGCAGGAAATACATTAACATACAAATAAGTTGGTTATGGTACAAGACACATAATGTTAAGGGCAAATGTCCTGCCTCGAGGAATATAATAATGTCAGTAGTACCTAAACTATAAGCGTCAAAACACCCTCAGTTCACTATCTTTCCACTCCGTGTATTGTTCTACATCAAAAATTCCTTTTAAATTCTACATCACATCCCCATAAAAAATGTTAAAAACCGTTCGCGCCGGGACCCAACACCAAACCCCTTCCTCATAGGTTGTACTCAAGGGAAACAGAAAACTTCAACAGCACCTATCACAATATATATATATAATTGTTCCCTGTAGTAATAATAATGATTGCTAAGTTCTACCCGGTCAAATTTGATAAATTATGTTAACGTAAATTCTAACCTTTCATTTAAAGATGGTCACAAATGAGCAAATCCTTGTCAACGCTGTGACACTTGTACTGTTTTTCTGTTAAATACACCTGTGGATGAGCAAGGAGTGTTGCTTTCATAAAATTGTTATTTATTTAATAAGAGCACTCAGATAGAAGTATGGTTATTGAGCTCACGGCCCTGAACGTTTAGACGAGCTTTTTCTTTTTCTTTTGTTTTGTTCTTGTTTTTTTAACTCGGTAATAGTATCCATACATGACAATATACAGAAAGAAGACCCTATTGATACTATTCTGTGTTTTCACTATCACGCCATCAAAAAATAAAAATGGAAACCAGTCAACACATAAAGTCCAGAATCTGGGAAATGAAAGAAGATAAATAAACATAAAGCCTCGCTAGGAATTAGGTCGATGCGATAACTCACAAGCGAGATATTCGGAAAACGTTTTACCCAAGTTTATAAGGCTCTCTATGGAGACGCCATGATGGTGTCCTTTTGAGGGGCACAAATATGGCCGCCGGAAACCAACAGAAACATTTGTTTTGGAGTTTTCCTACTTATGCGTGAATTCATCACTTGAAGAACTCATAAAGATTAAAGTAATATTTATTCTAAGACAGGGAATGTTTAGATAGCAGATCTCAAAAAACTAGTAACGTTTTTAACCCACAAAATAGCTTTCCCGGCCGCCAGCTAAATGCCGCGTCACGCAAAAGCCTAGAAATTTAAGCGTCTTCTATCGCAAAACAAGGAGCCCTNAGGAATTAGGTCGATGCGATAACTCACAAGCGAGATATTCGGAAAACGTTTTACCCAAGTTTATAAGGCTCTCTATGGAGACGCCATGATGGTGTCCTTTTGAGGGGCACAAATATGGCCGCCGGAAACCAACAGAAACATTTGTTTTGGAGTTTTCCTACTTATGCGTGAATTCATCACTTGAAGAACTCATAAAGATTAAAGTAATATTTATTCTAAGACAGGGAATGTTTAGATAGCAGATCTCAAAAAACTAGTAACGTTTTTAACCCACAAAATAGCTTTCCCGGCCGCCAGCTAAATGCCGCGTCACGCAAAAGCCTAGAAATTTAAGCGTCTTCTATCGCAAAACAAGGAGCCCTTTGGAACCGAAAATTTGTGTAAATAAAGGATTTTATAGGTGCTGCAATACCTCATGAAAGTAGAAAAGTAGAAGAATCGATAGTTTCTTAGTTTGACTTTTGACGACGTCATGTCAAAACCCCTAGTATGCTAATAAATAGCTATTTCACCCTGAGAAGATTCAGGAGATGACAGTTTGTAACGTGTTGAATTTTCATGTTTCACTCAGTTTGGTGATGGTATCCATTGCCTGAGTTTTGATTCATTTCGTGACATAGCTCCTTTGAGGTTGTAGACTCTTGCGAGTTGACTTACATTAGCTTCACGTAAATGTTTTGATGAATTCACTTCACAGCATACGATTCCAAAACTGACGCTCTGGTATCCTGAGTCCACTCCAGGAGCTCTAATTTTTAAGTATATGGATAAAAATTGCTGGCTGACTATGTTCATTAACACCTCTTCGGGAGTTATGTATCCACTCGGTAATTCCTATATTGCTCGAAGATTTTAATATGAAAAGAAATTAGCACTGTTTTAATTTTTTTCTTTTATGAGTTTTGGTTTTGTGAGGCAAGGCAAGCGTTGGATCCACCGTTGCACGAACAAATGGATGTAATACTCACATGTACGACGTTAGCTGCCAGTCAAGAGTCCTAGGGTTTAATACCCTGAAAGAAAAATATCGCATAAGATATACGGTATAGTTAAAAACACAATCGAAATTGTTTTCTTAGGAATCTGTAATGATAAGGAAAAAAATTCAAGACCCCAAGTTGAAAACCAGCTGCGCCCTGGTATTTCACACATTCCAAATCCACCAGCTATACCGTGTTCATTTACCAGCAAACACATAAAACAATGAAACGAAACAGACTTTCATATACCTCCTCAAATAAAAACACGAAAAAAACTCCTTTTCTGTCAAAATATTCGCTCCAACTTGTTTGCTTAACTTATCTTTAATAAATAAAGCATGATTTTGTGCGCACCTGGGAAAAATCAGACATTCACTGCTCGGGACTGTGCTGAAACTAGTTGGTTTTCCTGGTTGAGTCGCTTGTTTCTGTCTGTGTATTAATTTGTTTCTATTCTTCTTTTTGAACAGACCGTCTAATTTTTTATTGTGATAGAAAGTACATTTGGAGCACATTTTTATTCGCAGCATTATAGCTTAAACGACATAATAACAACTAGACAAAAAACAAGACGTTCTGTTAAGAGAATCCAACTTGTGATAACACTAAACTGCAGTTTCAGGTTTTAACACCTAATGCAAGGGTTGCCTCAGTAAGAAACTCCCACGGTTGTCAAAAGAATAACATATGACACCTGCTATGTCGCCAAACACTTTAAGACAACCAGAGCCCATTCAAAAGAGAAATACAAGCACACTGAAATTGATTGCAATGCCGACACCTTGGGCCACACCCGTCAAAATTAGTCATAGCTTGTCTGTATCCTTCTCACCTCTACTGTCAGGGATAAACTAAAAAAAGAGAAAGAAAGAAAAAAGTTGAAAACTTTAGCTCTGAATAGAAAAGTCAAAAAAAAAGTAAAAAAAAAAAAAGGTTTCTGATAAAAACCACTTTGAAATTAGCGAATTAAAAGAAATCTCACTGACGCAAGTCCACGAATCAAAAAATTTCACATCATTAATTATGAATAATCAGTAGAGTGATGTCACAAGTGATTAAAAGTGGGCGACCTACAGAGGATCAAGATACTATTCACTGTTGTGAAGGGACGCTTCAGGTAACAAGTACTTCCTTAGTTCTTTTAATATTCTAAACAGCATCAACTGTAATTTTGCGCAGAGTAATTTGCATCTATACATTTTAAAATAATCTACAAGACACGCCTTTCCGTGGGAAAAGCCTGCACCATGAGGACGAACCCCCTTCAAAATGAGTTGACGCTGCTCGTGGCAAACCGGGCCTTATTTACTTTAAGGGAAAACAGAGATGATTGCTACACGTATATTGTTGCAAACGTCCACCCTTAACACCTTGTTCTTTTCTTTACAGGGCACAAAATGAGTCTGCCTTTTGCTCTTTTACTGACAGCCCTAGTGGCTGCTTCAGCGACCGCCAAATCAATTCCAAAAGAAAGTAAGTGAATAAGTCGTAGACTTCTTAAGACTTAACTACAATTACTATCTTTTCATTCCAAAGCTTTTGGGAGCACATGTAATTTAGTCTGAGCTTTTCATTCTGAAAATAAAATTCATGCATGATTTGATCACTGGGATAAATTCTCTCAAAAGCGTTTTCAGGCACGTGGTTATTATTTATAAATAAATGTAGATCACAATTATGTAAACATCATTTTATGAAGCAGCCTTAATCACTTCAACTATTTGTCAAATTTCATCTTGACCATTATCTCTCAAAGCATAATTTCCCTATCAACACTGAAATTTCATTAGGATCGTATTGATTTTTATTTCAATATTTAACTTTTAGAGAGAAAGAATTCATAAACTATAAAAAAAATCTTTCTCAATTTCATACTAACAGTTCACTAAAATGATATATTTTACGGGATGGACAAGATCGCATAGGTTTCATTAAAGATTTTGTTGATAGTAATTTTTTTTTTGATAGTTACAAGCAGGTTTCAATCACTACCCGCAAGAAAAAAGTCCAAAGAAAAATCATCTGTAATTAATATATATGAAGCGCGATACGCCTGCAGAGAGGAATAAAGATTGGTTATTTGACTAGCAGGCCAAGCATTTTACTTAATCATTCTGTGAGTAAATGAAATTTAACCTTATCACAAAGCGCTTTAACTTGAGCAATACCACAATATACCATTTGTAGGAGTTAAAAGGCACAGATATGGGTTTATAAAAATAATATTAAATATCTGAGGTGACAATTATCGTTTATAGGCTGTGCTCGTTTAACTACCATTATATCTTTTCAGGTGCAAAGAGGTGCTGTCCACCTCAAGCCTCCTCTACCTGCACGCTCCTTCCTCCGTGCCCAAGCCCACCACCACCACCGCCACCTCCTGGTCCCTCCGGACCACCTGGACCTCCAGGGCCCCCAGGACTTGTAGGATGTGCAGGCAGTCCTGGAATGGCCGGCTGTGCCGGAATGAAGGGCGAACCAGGACCACCTGGACTTCTAGGACCCCCAGGGACTCCTGGACTACCTGGTAAAGCTGCTCTCCCTGGGCCACCTGGACCACCCGGATGTATGGGATCAGCCGGTGCAGCCGGTTGTCCCGGCTTTAAAGGTGCCCCTGGTGCAATAGGTCCACCCGGTCCACCAGGACTTCCAGGAAAGGCTGCCCTACCAGGACCACCAGGACCAGCAGGATGTAGAGGGGCACCCGGTGCTCCTGGCTTCCCAGGATGTAAAGGCGCCCCTGGACCAATGGGGCTTCCTGGTCCTCTCGGACCTGCTGGAAAACCTTCTTTACCTGGGCCACCCGGACCACCTGGAAGCATGGGACCTCCTGGTACTCCAGGATGCATGGGTTTGAAGGGATGTCCAGGAGCTGCAGGTGCCCCCGGACTTGTGGGACCTGTTGGCCCTCCTGGACCACCTGGACCACCCGGACCCCCAGGATCAGCTCCTGCACCGTGTGCTAGTACCTGTGGTGGAGGGTGTTGCTAGAGTTAAAATCCGAAAAGATTGTGATGATGAAACATAAAGGCCACGAAAAAAGGAATATGAAAGCTTCTTTCTAAACGCCAAGATTGACACTATGATCGACATATGTAAAAGAAAAAGCCCTTTTGTTTGCCCACTTCTGGGCATTTGTGCTGAAAATGTACAGATAACATTTTCCAGTAGCAAATAAAGTATTTGTTTATTATACAGATTGCGCTTCCTTGATACGTCCGGAGACAATATGTTTCTAGTACTTTTCTACCGAAATTACGACTATGACATTCACAGTCTTTTTCTAAGACAGATGCATTATCCATGTATGACTTCCGCTGTTGTCAGTGAACCTGAGTGGGACAACCTTACTGAAGTTTGTTGCCATCTTGAACATCACACTGGCGCTTTCGTAAACCATTTCTATTTCCTTCTTTAGTGGCTTAAGAAGAGCAAATGCCAATTTTTTTGGTCGAGATATTTCAAATTAAGTTATTTAATATTGTTTCACGACCTCTGATATCTGAAAAATAGGGCTATCACTACAAATCGAGGTTTTCATATGATGTCACTAAAATTCAAACTATGAAACTATAGACTCTTCTGAATTTCTATTTAATGAGCTATTCGGGCACCTTAACGCTTTTATTCATACAAATTTTCGGTTCGAAAGGGTTCTCCGTTTACGATAGTGGACGCTTGAATTTCCAGGCTTTTTCGTGACGCGGCATTTAGCTGGTGACTGGGAAAGCTCTTACTTATGAGGGTTCAAAATGTTGTCGATTTTTGAGATTTTAAAATCTGAACATTCTTTGTCGCAGAATAAGTATTACTTTAATCTCTATGAGTTCCTCAAGCAATGAATTCACGCATTTGTAGGAAAACTCAGAGACAGATGTTTCTGTTGGTTTCGGACGGCCATATTTCTGCCCCTCAAAGGGACACCAGCATGGCATCTCCATACAAAGCTTTTTTGGGTAAAACGGTTCTCCGAATATCTCGCATATAAAATATCGCAAAGACCTGATTATTGGCAAATGCTTTTTTTTTATTTATCATCATTTGTTTTTCAGATTCTTCTCTTTCTGTATTGAATGGTTTGCATATTTATTTTTGATGGCGTGACAGTGAAAACAGAGAATATTATCATTACTGTTCGCAGTTTTAATTATCTCTCTCGTTTTGACTGCATGAACAAGATTTAAATAGTTTGAGAGCATTAAACCACCAAGAAGTGCAAAAAAATCTCAGCTATAGAGGGTTTGTCAAATGAAAAATAAATTTTAGTACGGTGGCCGGTTCTATCAAAGGTTGGCAAGACAAGCCAGGTGATTTTCTGGTAAGATGGCTGGTTGTGGATTGATTGACTAACAAACTGCAAATTTTACCAAAGCATGGCTGATTCTGGGCCCAGATGTCAGCTGAGATGTCGCAAGGTCGATTTTTCACTAAACCGGTGTTAAATTTTAATCCGGGTTCTGTTTCTTTCGTTCGAAAGCGTTTTGCTTCTATATTGTTCACACCAAAGGGTAAACGGTAAAGGAACACCAGGAATCTTCTTTGTATGCGTTCAGATTTGATGCCAAATTTTGCCCTAATATTGGGTTACTACAATCCTCGTTTGAACAAGCGGGGCAAGATATGTATGTATTGTGGCCATAATGGAAAGCCCTTGCGTTGTGAGACAATCCTGTCTGGGAGGAGGGGGGAAGCGACAGTTGTCGAACACTTCTTGGCCTCGGCTGCCTACGTTGCGAGATAGCACAGCCTAAACGCCTATCTTTTTAAAAGAACCACTGAAAAATGTTGGGACAAAAAGCAAACGAAGTCGCTTTGACGCAAACTCAACGAATCTAAGATTACAAGAATTTTAGTTTCATCCTCTAAGTCGATAAAGCAGTTTTTTTTACCGTGATGAAGAATCAAAAGCGAATTGACTCCAACTGGATTCGAACAGAGGGTTACCGCTCAAAACGTCAGCTTTCGTATCTCCCTACTGTAGAAAATTTCTTTAAAACTTTATTGGTCCTTTTTTCCACCAACGGCGTAACATCTTTTGAGTCAAAATGAAATAACATCGCCATCAATTATGCATATCACACGAAGTGACATAATAAGTGTTTGATAAGATGCAGATGAACACATTTCACAGTTCTAAAGAAACGGTTCAGGTAGGGTTGATTCCCCCAGTTTTTTTTTTGTTTTTGTAATTTTTGAACAAGCCTCTCCTATAAGGTAAACTATATTCATATCCTTCTTTATCACTGAATACAACCAAAAAAATGAAGTTAGAACTGTTCGTTTAAAATGGAATGTACAATAAATTGGTTACCTCGAATCAAATTGTCATATAGAATGCAATGTTCTTTTCTTTACAGGCATCAAAATGAGTCTGCCTTTTTTTCTGTTGGCAACAGCCCTTTTTGCTGCTTCATCGATCGCAAAGTCAATTCCAAAAGAAGGTAAGTTGATAAATTGTAGATCACTAGGGTTGACTAAGATTATCTCGTTCGAGTCACAAAAATGTCGATGGCGATATGTAATGTAGTATGAGCTTTTGATTCTGTGAATCACTAGACTCGGTGTTCATTTCAGCGTGGAACAATTTTCCCAAAAATGAACTTGGGATGCGATTATGTAAACAGCACTATGAAATACCCTGTAAATCTGAAGATTATTCGGTCACAATACATTTACCTGATTCAATATTCACCATAACCTCTGAAAGCATCAAATAATTCTGTTTAACGCCTTGTCATTGCTTGAGAGTTGTGTTAAGAGAAATCAGATTTTATTCTCGAGGAGACTCCTTTTATCTTGATAAAATTTTTAGCTTTTTAAATGCGCAATTTAACCATTTATACGATAAACTATTTATCTTTTGGCTCCGTCCATGAGATTCTAAATCTGTTGCAAACAACATTTTTCAGCAGTTTTGTTAACTATGGGTAGACGTTACTGGTACTTGTAAATCCAAAGGACATCGAAGTTAGTAAAAACCAACGCAAGCGTGCAGAAATAAATGGGTTAAATACGTACGAAAAAAAGTGGGTATCTTAAAACCTTAGGGAAAATGGCACTGATTTTGTTATATTTTCTTAAGGGAAGGAATAGAAATCTGAATTTTAAGATGGTTAGAAAAATTAGATTTACCTGTAATGAGGATGGTGACACTGTGATGTATTCGTGAGATTTATCATAAAATATACATTATTAACGGCGCAAGGATAAGCAAAACGACCCACACGCTTTATCCCAACGAGTTGTCTCGACAATGTCTAGCTAATATTTCAATGAACTTGCATACCAGTCGCGAAAAATAGATCAATCCCACTGGCTTTATACTTCGGAAATTTGGCGTGCGAGATGCCATTTAAAGAAACATGCTTTTTGCCTCTTCTAAAAGATGGGCTTTCTACATCTTGCAGTCGAAAGAGCTGTTTAATTATTATTATAGTTATTATTATTATCATCATTATTATTGATGTTATTCACTCCACAAAGAACTTCAAAAAACAAAACACTCGCAATAAATAAGCCTTTCGCAAAGCTGATTTTCTTCTATACTTTCTATAGCTAGTTTAGTTCACTGTTATAAAAACGAAGTTAGAAAATTAACACTAATATTTTGGTCCTTTACATTTTTACTTATATTGGGTACTTTGTGATTTTTTATCAGGTACAAAGAGGTGCTGTCCACCTCAAGTCTCCTCTTCCTGCACATTCGCTCCTCCTTGCCCAAATCCACCACCACCACCGCCACCTCCTGAAGTCTCCGGACCCCCTGGACTTCCCGGACCCCCAGGACTCCCAGGATGTTCAGGTAGCCCTGGGATGTCCGGATGTGTCGGAATGAAGGGCGAACCGGGACCACCTGGACCTCTAGGACCCGCTGGACCTCCCGGACTACCTGGTAAAACTGCTCTCTCTGGACCACCTGGACCACCAGGATGTATGGGGCCACCCGGCTCGGCCGGTTGTCCCGGCTTTAAAGGTGCCCCTGGTGCAATGGGGCCACCCGGTCCAGCAGGAATTCCGGGAAAGCCCGCGCCAATTGGCCCACCCGGACCAGCGGGATCTAGGGGAGCACCTGGGGCTCCTGGTTGTCCCGGACTTAAAGGTGCTCCTGGGCCGATGGGTCTTCCTGGTCCTTCTGGACCTGCAGGAAAACCCTCCCTCCCTGGCCCCCCCGGACCACCTGGCTGCATGGGACTACGTGGTTCTCCAGGATGCATAGGTCCAAAAGGATGCACAGGAAATGTTGGTGCTCCAGGGCTCGTAGGACCCGCTGGCCCTCCAGGACCACCCGGACCACCTGGACCAGCACCCTGTCCGGAAGCGCCTGCTCCAGCGCCTTGTCCTTGTCCTCCCCCCTGTCGTAGATAAGAAAACGATGACGATAACGATGGTGGAAACTGAAAGTCTGCGAGAAAAATATCAAATTCCTACTTTGCATGAACGAAATAAACACTAGTCATCGAGTAACCTTCGTAAAGGAAGTAGCATTTTGAATGCACTTCTCTGTATCGTGTGTTTAGAATGTTTACCATAAGGCAAATAAAGTACAACTTCGATATGATGCATTCCACTTGATTGTTTTACCATTCACTCTGTTATATATCTAGAGTATTGTGTGTGACATTTACAGCCTTTATAATGCAGTCACATCACTACTAAATGGCTTCCTTTGCCCGGGTTTTTGTAACACGTTGCATCACCTGAGAAAACCTAACAAGTTATAAGCACAACATTTGAAACCAAAGCTTTCCTGTTCTACAGCATTGGTAACTAAATACCAGTTTATAATCTGTTCGGTGGGGAGGGTGCTTGTGGATGGATTTATGTAGACTTCAGACGGAAAGTCCAATTGAAAGCTTACTTTTAGGAAACAGAAAAAGGAGAGTTCAGGAATAAGTAAAAGATCACCCAGCCAAAGTTTTTATTGAGATGAGGCAGGTTTTACTTACAGAGCAGGACAAAAGCATAAAATTGTCTTGTATCTATGATCTTTCTCACCTGCATGTACTCGATCCTAAGATGGCGTAACACACAACTGCTCGAAAACTGCTGTTAGATGGTTCTATCAGTTCACGTGCATTTGACAACTTTGATTAAACACATTACAATATATAAAAATATATTGAAAATATATTGTCGTCTTGATCCGGTCGCTTTCCTAGTTACTGTAAACGTCAGTACAAACAATTAAACCTCAAAGCCTTCTAAGACCTGTTTAACAGCCATGAGCTTCGAAAGGGACCATACCATACTACCTTCTCAGAAACAGGATACCCAGTTTTGCACGCAACCCAACACTCAACATTTTTTTATTGATAAAGTGGCATTAGCGCTAAAATTAGCACATCGTAAAGCGAGGGATGGAATCTACTCAGCAAATCACGAAGAAGAAATTATTCATTGAATTGTGCCCGCTCGGCTGGTCAAAGCTGTGTCAAGATTTTACCTATCACTGGTTGATGACAAAAATACATTTCTAAAAGCAAGTGCTTTGCTCGAAATAAGATGTTAGAACAACCATTAAACTAAGTACGTTAGACGTTGGTTTGCTTTCGGTGCTATTCTTTTTTCCCCGTAGAAAATTCAAGACAGCCTTTAGAAATGAAAATCTACTTAATTTTCTTTCAATGAACGAATCGGGATATATTAAGAAAGGAATCCCTTTTTCTTGAGTGGCAGAATTAAGACAGCCCAAAAAACTTTCCAACCACTGATTTATGTCTACTCCACGTAGATTGGGATGCCATAGGAAGGATAGACTTCCTACTGGTTTACGTACCACATCTGTAAGTCCTGCTGTAGAACACTTGGAAAAGAGGAAAGCACAAAACGCACTTTTGTCAAGAACGAAACATGAACGGGTGGCATATATTAACCACGAAAATGACTTCCTGATATTCTTCATGGATACTTTAAAAGGTCTGTCATAGTTACCGGGTAGATACGTCAACGCCCAACATGAAAATTAAATTCAATGCCGGTGCCTATGTGAGGTAAATGGATGATCATGAGGAGCCTTTTCTACTGGGAAATTGTAGTATTAAATTTAACTGTGAGCTATGGTCAAGATACATCTTTTTCCATCATCGCCTTTGAACTGGTTGTTTGAAAACTTAATCAAGTTCGATCATTGAGGGACTGGCCTGGCTAAGCAATTGACGTGAAAAATTAGCTATTAACATGTATTCTTAATATAAACACACACCTCAACGATACGAATTCTATTTGAATTCCCTATAACTATATACAAATCGATCTTAATCACTAAAAGTTAAAACATTTTGGCCATTTTTCGCAGTCCTTTTGAGGCGTGTGAGAAAAATTCATCGAGAGCTAGTCATCTCGATATATGAATTAAGGTGACGCAAGGTGGTCCTAAATAATTTACATCGATCACGTCAGATAAAAGTAGTAATGAAGTAACAAGGCACTGGCAACGCAAGTCTTAGTAACAAGTCTACGGCAAACCAGGTAAGAACGTCTAAAGTTCTAAAATTCTGAGATTGAAAGGCGAAGTATTCACTTTGTGGAAGCCACAAAGCTTCCAGAGGTAAGTAAGAGAAAGATTGTAAATCAAGAGAGATCATTTTAGCCAAGCGGATGTTGTCAAAAGCGGCTAAAGTAATTATCAATTAAGTGTGACTCAATCCAGCATACACACAATTTCTTTAGTGGTCTGTTCTAGAATACATATCGGACTAGTTTCGCATGCCAATTCCTCGAGCTCCCTACTTCATTATCATCCCAAACCGTGGCTTCCCCTCAAATAACAACACGGTAATTTAATCTCTGGAAGCTACCAATAATTCGAACAAATTACCTTTTCCCAAAAAGATTTTAAACATCGAGTAAGGTGCTGGATTGCGATAAATAAATTCAGTGCTGAAAAGAACGAGGTATATAACAAATGTGTTGTTTTGTTATTCAATGAGTTGCAAATAAGGGTGTTTTTTATTTTTGTTCTAATGTATTTACTTCCAATGCATGTTCCTATTATAATAAATTTTAAATCTATCGACAGGAAAATGAATCTTCGGATAATTCTGTGCGTTGTATTCACCCTTGCCACCTTAGCGACTGCCAGATCACCCAAAAAGGCAACGACTCGTCAAGGTAAGTGCATAACGTAATGAAACAAAGGCAAACAGAGAATCACAGTTGGTTCAATTGGAGTAACGCATTAGCCGACGAACCAGTTTCAAGAAAAGGAAAAACGCCAAGCGGAAGCGGTTGACAGTTATCAAGTGAAAATTTAGTCCAAGCGTTTAAGAAAACATGAAAACGTCTTTTTGGTGGTTATCTTGGTCTTTCACTTATAAAATTTCAAAATATTTTCAGATATAAGCAAAATGTAAGGTCTTTCAATGTCTAGACTGTATTTGACAACATTGAAACTGGTTTTTCCAGTTTAGAGATTCTCCAGGAGCCAGATCCTTGACAGAGATCAGATTATCTAGTGATTTGAAAAACTTTGAAACTTTTTGACGGTTAATATTAATCTACATTTTTTGACGGTTGACGGCAAAAAATATTACCTTTCGCGACGGTTGACGGTTAACTCCATTGAGAGCCTCTTATAGAAGATGTGACCACGCGATGTCGATGTCGACAGAGCTTTCTTCTTTTTATGGTCTTGGATAGAGTCCATAAGCACTCATCTCCAGCAGCAAAATTCTGCCTACAGATAAAACTTTACCGAGGCTGAGCTATGTAGGCGGGATAGGGTTTGAAAAAACACAAAGTTATTTTTTAAATGACGCATTTTCGCTGCTGTCGTCATCATGGATGCTTTATCTCCCCATTAAGAAATTCCTCATGAAGTCGTCAACTCGGTGGAAACCTCTGATAATAAGCGTGTAACTATTAAACAAAAACTTATCATAATCCTTGTAAACTTAATCATCAAAACTTGCTTTAGCTAGTAGAAGGACCAGTACCGCAGATACAGGTGGCTTCTGCTGATAGTTTGACATAAAGGGGTTGCCCACCTCAGTTTCCCGCCTCCCCCAACACCGCGAAACGAAAAAAAAGGAAAAGGGGATTATTTTATAGTTGTAAAGGTACAACTTTGTTCAGTAAGTTTAGAAGGTGTTTAAAGCCACTATGCCTCAGTGGGTGATATGATCCGTTGGAGCGCGTGTCATTTCGTAAGAAGGTCACCGTACTTACATGATTGACAGTTATGTTTGATGACTGACGCAGCTGAATTTTCCTTTCGTATATAAAGTCAATAATACGCTTTTCCCTAGCACAAATTTATCGTAAAGAATGCTGAATTCTTACTGTGAGTTTTAAGGATACTGAGGAAAAATCTCCCTTTATTTGGCGAAGGCACTTTCGAGGATCAAAGTTATTACGCGTCTTTAATAAGATATCCTTATCGACACAATATTAACTAAATACAACTGGACTACAACTGGAGCAGAAAAAGAGATCAGAGACGGCAAATAAATAATATGACGAATCGCTTCCATCGGGATTTTTAGAGCTCATATAGTGCAACATACCAATGACATAGATCTAAATACTGTTTGTCACCTAACCCTAGGTTTTCAAATGCTATTTTCCGCACAATCTTAATCTTACTGCGGAGCAAGTTCAAATGACCGCAGCAATCCAAGGATCGAACTTCATTACGCCTAGGTTACGTGTCGCTGAGTTTCACAGCAAGAGTATCATTATACAACTTTCTAGCTTCCCTATCGTCTGTCCAAACAATAATCAAGTATTGCTTTCAAAGTTTAACTCCAATACTTACAAAGTATAGCTTATAAATATGTCTGAAGAACGAGTGTCAATCTAGACTAGCAACACCACTAAAAGAAAGCAATAAAACAAGGGCCCATCAAAAGTATGAGTATTGGTAGATCGAGTTATATTTAATTACTATATGGTGAAAATCGCTAAAGGCTCTTGACGGAAAAGAATTACGCACAAGTGTGTGACAATTACTACGTTATTGCTGCTTATTTCAAACTAACTCCATGAGAACTTACATGTCTGTTCTTTGCATTTAAGGTTAAAAAGTATGACAAGAGACTTGCAACTAGTCGTAAAGTCTTCTTAACACAAACGACAAACGTACCTTTGCCTCGCCGAATTTTCCATGTTGTTTTGTTTGTTTGTTCGTTTGTTTTTTGGCAGGCCCCAGTCAGCAGAAAAAGAGGCATTATAAGCAAGAAAGAGACACTTCAGGTAGAAAATTTCTTTTACGGTACAGTTCATGGTACAGTTCACATGAAGAATGATATGTCTTGAATTCTATAGGAATATTTTAAGCCACATTTTACTTAAAACAAGTGGCTGTTTTTATTAACGTCTAGCGTCAAAAAAGTGCTGTGTGAACCCAAACGACCAAACAGAAAAGCCCAACTGTGTTACCCCGCCAGTACCACCATGTCCAGCAGGAGCAACAGGAGGTCCTGCAATTACTGCACCTTCGCCAGTACAACCAGGACAAGCCGGATCACCGGGTGGTGCTGCAACAACAACGTCAACGGAAGAACCAGGAAAACCGGGAGGTGCCCAGGGTCCTGCACCAACACAGCCACCACAACAAACGCCGGCGGCATCACTAGTTCCCGCACCGAGTTCAGTAGAAAGGAAACCTGAAACGCCTTCGTCTGCCACACCGCCACCAGGACAATCGGCAGCTGTTGAGAGTACAACAACAAAACCTCCGCAACAAACGGAACAACCAGGATCTCCGGCGGGTCCCACAACACAGCCACCACCTGTGGAACAAACAGTACAACCAGAAAGCCCTGCTGGCCCCGCACCAGCTCCACAACCAGCCAAACCTATATCCCCAGCAGGCCCCGCGCCTCAGCCTCAACAACCTGTAACTCCTGAACCACAGCCTCAACCACCACCACCAGAAAAACCAGAGAAACCGGCATCCCTTGCAGGACCCTCAACGCCACCACCGCCGGGAAAACCTGGAAAAGAAAAATGTCCGCCCGGGACACCAAAAGTTGAGTGTACTCATACATTTTCAGCGGGCGTAAAGGTGTCGGTCAAGGCTACCTCAGGTAGCTCAACGAAATAACAACCCAGCGAACAAAGGGAGAAAAGAGAGTATAGGTGATCTACCTATAATATATGTTGCAATAAAAAAGTTAAAGAAAAGTAAGTGGCCTACAACTGACTTATTTTAATGCTAGAAAATACAAATTTAACAAAACGGTGACACTGAGACCATCCCTTAGAAAGAAGTAATTCACGGAAGCCACGTCATTTGCTCCGGGTCGCTGATTCTGTTCCCCAGGCGGCACGTAAGAGCGAGGAAGAAGAGCGAAGGGCAAGAATGAAAACAAAAAACTCAAATATATTCGCCAAGGATACGCCAAAAAACACGATATTCCACGCAATAACAAAAACGCTGCCATAAAACGAACAGAACAGGCTTTCCTTTCAATTTTTAAAGTAGTTCCCATTACACAGAGTGATATGATACTGATTGGGGGACTAGATTGATCGTTCCATGCTCAGGGTGGTTTTTCAAGGCCGTATCACAAAATCACGTATATTCAGCCTAAAATGCTAGACATCACTGTAAAACTGCGGGGGAGAAGACTATAAAGATTCGTTCCCGTGGGTGATTCCCGTATCAGTAAAAAAGAAATAACATGGATGCTCGCCGGAATCTTAAGCAAAGTACCATGCTTTTTGAGAAGGCACTTTTCAGCATAAAACAACCGAATCTGGCTCTTTAATGCCAAATCAGGTGAAAAAATTGGCAAAGGCGATTTATAGGTTTTTTGATTAAGCTCGATATATTAAAATTCTAACATAACTTCGAGGCTTTCTGGTAATTTTTCTATGTTTGGTTTGGTTTCCATTGTTCTTAATTCTCTTCTGGGAATTACAAGACAATGGAGTCGTCAAAAATTTGCAATTTTGACCCTAAAGCCTCGGTGTCATGTTAGAATTTTAATATATCGTTTGTGGGCTATTGAATGAGGCTATAGGATCAGAAGAATAACGCAGAGCGAGGAGGGTGGTATTCTCCTCGGCCTCGGCAGATAACACCTTCCGAGAACTGCATAATCCTTCAGATCTACCGCTTACTTCGATCGATAATAACTTCTCATCTTTACTTGTCCGTTCCCTGGCAAATTCAGGATATAAAGGAATGTTTCTGTCCAGCGGATGTTCTTCAAACAGCAGTTGTCATCCGTTGAGTTGTTTCAAGTGTTCAACTGACGCGTAACCGACCATATTTGGAGAGTATGGTTTAATGGCTCGTACCGTATAAGCGAATCAACACCTCTTGAATTCCATTGTCCAATGATTCAACTTTTTTCTTTACCATTATCCTAAGCAATATCTGTTTGGGTAAAATATCACCTTTCCGTCCTGAACACCCTTATTGAGACCAAAATCAGCAATTCGTCCTTTGCAGCTAGTTACTCATGCGGTACAAAACCGTCATAGTGGACAGCAAGAGGTGCATTGGGACGAGACAAACAAAAAGAATACCATATTAATGATGTAAGCCTTTTGTCTGGCTTGAGGCAGTGCGTTTCTTGCTCTCCAACAAGGCGGTTTTGTACCACTTGAATGAATAGCTGCATAGGGCCTTNCTATTGTCTAAGATTATATTTTTTGCCGAAATCGTGTTGTTAAAATTTTTTAAAAATCTTCTTAAGTAAAGATCTTTCAACAGATTCACACTTCAATAAAACGAACTTTAAGGTACACATCACATATCCATGTCAACGTTATCAGATTCAACCCAACCAAAACAGTGGAACTTGAAATCTCGTTTTTTTCTTCTTCTTTGTGGTCCAATGAAGCAGAGACAACACAGCGTGAAAATTTGCAGGTTACCAACAGAAAAGCCAAGACAGCATCAAACAGGCACTCGTAAAACTTGAAAAATAATATCCAGCTGAGCCTTTTGTTTTTCTCCCACTTGTCCTAGTCCTGCACAGAAACAACCATCTCTAAATGATAGGCTGAACCGTAAATTGGCAGTCCATTTTTATACCCTTTCCTTATTCTCACTTACTAAAATATTTAATGACACTTAAGTAAAGGATACCTGCACACAAAGTTTATTTGAAATTTGTCACCTTTAAATATACCAAGAAGAGAATAAAAAACAATGCGATTGTCTTTTCTTCCGCCAATCCTACTGGTCCTAGAATACTGATACAAATACATTGTTGCTCGGAAACATAGAGCTGTTTACAAATAAATATGAAGATATTGTTACTTCAAGGACACGATATTTCACTCTATCTTATTTTAGGCACAAAATGTAAATAATGTTTCGGCAACAAATGTCCTATTTCAGTTGTGTAGGAAGATATCATCCCCAGGCTGCTTTTAATGACAAATGATGCAAATGCCTCTGTTGTCAGGGAGAGGATGGGATCACTTACGGATTGACTGACCCATACTGCTTTTAAATGTTATTGATCCTAGCGAATGGCTTAGAGTGTAAAAAGAGCTCCGCTTTTATGCTTAGATAAAACTACATATTAATTTGTGAGCAAAACGCTGGCAAAAAGACAGCGAAGAGCAAAAACATTGTCATGCGTCTAAATGATTTCGAGTTTGGTGTAACTTTCGTCAAATATGCCTTTTTTGGCAGCTATCGACAAATATAAGAATGGTTTAGGCCCACATGAAACGCCGTACCTTGCATGAGTCGAGCCTAATGGTAATGAGAAACATCTATTGTTTTTGCTAGCTGACAAAAGTACGGCGTTTGACCCGGATATTAGAATCACGTTTATAGCAAACGCAAACGTGACATTATACCGACCATTCTTCAAATTAGGAAACTAGCAGTTAAAAAACTGCTCAGAACGATTCTAGTGGAAAAAACTGGCATGAAACTACTTACGTTCGTGTAGGCAAAATGAACAGCGAACCACAGGTGAAGTTAAATTAGGTCACGTGGAACTAATTCATGTTTTCGTTTTACACTCATTTTGATTTTGTCGAGTCCAAAATGTCCTTAATCCTTCTAATAATTGCCAAAAAATCCTCACCTGTACAATGAATTACAACAGCTAGAATATTTCACTTTTAACTGTCCGTCTTCCCGGTAATTCAAATTGACAGGACTTGATAGCTTGCGTGTACAACATTTATAGAGTGTTTGTTTGTTCCTTAAATATAACCTGCTCCTTTTATTTCATGAAAGAAAATTAGAGATTATGGTAGCTGGGAAAAGATACTGCAACATCCAATTTCCTTACCGCTCGATTAAACCGTGGAAAATTGCACTTGAGTTAGAAATATAATTAATAACTTCTTAGTCATACAGGCGACAGGCCAAGCGTTTGACCAAAGATTTGTCACATCCACGCCCCAATTACTTGACCATGTTAAGGGTCACCCGACCACAGATCCGACTACCTGGTGCCACCCGCTTTTTTGCTCAGGAATCGACGAATCACTTTTCAACACTGGAATCAGCAAATTTAAAATTAATTACATTCGAGACGGTAAATAGCAGTGTTTCGAAGAATTAGGTCACATCTTGTTCTGTTTCTTCTTCAGGAGGGAAAATAAGAGGTAAGGCATTTTCTCTTATCTAAGATTATATCGATTCACCTTGTGAAACGAAGATTTGTTATCATTGATGCGGACAAAATATTATTAGGTTTTAGTCAAAACACCCTTTTTCAATAAGATTGTTTGTTTCCCTTTCGATTTTTAGCTTGCTGAAAATTTTACGGGGTGACTCCGACTTTCATGTTAAAAAACATATTAATTACCTAAACATTCATGTTTTCTTGTTCTTTGGTCAGATAATGTTGCAATTCGATAAGATGAAAGAAATGGGTTTTATTTTCAGTAATTCAGTTTATCTCACTTATCTTATTTTTTGTTTTTTATTGCTATTGTTGTTACAGGCGAAATGTATATGAAAATAGTATTTTTGGTCGTCCTGGCCGTTGTGTGCTACACACAAGCTAAATCCACAAAAGGTACCGTAAGACACGTTACTCTGGTGTTTAATAAATAAAATAAATACTGTAGCATTTTAAACTAGGAAGCTAACTAATGTGTTTAGAAATAAAGTACCATAGACTTTTTTCCGCGATGTACTTAAGACGAAGGCGAAGGTAGATAAAGCAAAAGGTGTTCGTAAAATGAAATTGAAGGTAAATAGTGGTAAGCCAATGGAACTCTAATTAAACAACAAATGACCGGGTCCATTTATTGTTGTGATGATCAAGTGATATTTTCGAATCCAATCAACACTTTTTATCGGATAAAAAATTCCCACATCGTCCATTGTATTAGGCGAGCACTGAAGCAAAAATTGCACGAAAGAAGAATTCTTTCCTTGGCGCTCTTGTTGTATTTAAAAAACCTTTCGTAGTTGAAGCCAACTCAGGCATTAATAATTCCCTTAGCTGGTGGCCAGATTATCTAGATACTGGCAAGAGATTCTTTTGTTCAACCGAAAATATATTCTCTTTCAACTTATTCTTTGAACAGTACTTTTCTTGATATGAAGTATATGAAATAATTCATTTTTGTGAAGTATATGAAATAATTCATTTTATAACTGCGGTTGTAGATGAGAGTGATGAATGATCATCGCATTAAATTTTCCAATTTAAGCAACTGAAAAGAAGAAGCCTGAAAAAAAAAAAAAAAAAATCAGGGCTTCAACGGGATTCGAACCCGTGACCTCCACGTTACCGGTGTGTTTTTTTTCTTTTTATTTCAATGATTTCTTTACACTTTTTCGGATTTGCTTCTGTAAATTTTTTTTTTTCCAATATCCATTTACAAAAGTTTTTAACAACCGGTAGTGCTGTTGGTATTCTACAATGCGTGTATTTACCCGCTTGCCTTACAAAACGAATGGTCTTAGAGAGATCGTGGAAAGGGTCGAAACTATCTAAGAGATCGGTTAAAACGAGAAACTTACTGTCCTAGTTGACACATTTTCGAGGCTGTTGAAAACTATACGATTTAGGCTCTATTGAACACATAACATTTATGTCATCATGTTCATTACAACAGGCTCGAAAAGGTGTTGCCCGTGTTGTCCACCACCACCACCACCTCCTCCACCTGTTCAACAAGTCTCCGGACCAATGGGACCAATAGGACCACCAGGATGCTCTGGACCCCCAGGAGCACCAGGATGCCCCGGATGGAAAGGATGCGCAGGTCCAATGGGTCTTCCCGGACCACCAGGCCCTGCTGGCCCAATCGGTGCAATCGGACCAATGGGACCCAAAGGATGTCCAGGAAATCCCGGTCTTCCAGGATGCCCTGGACTCAAGGGATGCCCAGGATGCGGTGGACCCCCTGGACCTCCCGGAGCCCCTGGACCTCAAGGACTTCCCGGAGCCTCTGCCCCTGCCCCATGCCCTCCTCCACCACCCCCACCATGCTGTCCTCCCCCAGCTTGCTGTTAGTAAATGGTCATACGACCTAATATTGGATTTGTCTAATCTATGCTTTTAATAAATTATACTTTTTGAATCGAAAATGTATTTGTTTTAGTAACAGTATGAGATTGATCTGATACGTTGTTTAACAATTAACAATTATTGGACGAGAGACACTGATAAATCACGATATTTTGCGATAGCCGAGTTCAACTATTGTTTTATCATTCGATCACCATATTTGCTTTTTAATGATGAATATATTCGGGAGGCGAAGCGATCTGCCATTTTCACGCAAGCCGGCGATCGAAAGAAGGACAGAAGCGTGGTTTCGCAGAGTACTATTTGCAGCCGAACACAGTTGGACGACATTGTGCATGAGCAGACCAATATCTGTTGGCAGTTATTTGCAGGTCACGTGGTGGGCTTTCGGCCGATGAAAAGGAAGAAGAAATTGCTTCGAATGAAAATAATTATCATTAATGTTAATTGGAAGCAATCAACAAAATACCCTTTAAAACTCAAAGTTTAAATATCCACCTCCGCAAACAACTTATGAGCTTGCAATTTCTACGGACAGATTAAACGAATTTAAACACCATATAGAACGACCACACCTCACCCCCCAACCCCCAACCCCTAATCCTCATCCAAAGGAAAAAACTTACATGGGTTGAAATAAATCCCTTACCTAAGAGGCTTTTAGATCGGTTTTGTGGTTGCTTCTCTCGTCTTTTGGTTTGAGTTAGATGCGAGCAAGGTAGTTCATTTGCTTCCGACTACAAAGTCGTTGTCGATATCGAAAAAGTTAACTTTGTTTTCATCTTTTCCTCGCCAATGATGAATTGCATTTTTTTTATTGTTATCACAGATCAAACTCAGATTCTTCGGAAAATTATCAAAAATTGCATGTGTTTTAATAGAGTTCAGTTGAAAAACATGAAGTCCCTGAAAAGATTCGATTTCCTCTGTCTTCTGCGTCCCGTCCTTGATCCTCTCCGAAGAGAGGGAAGGATGAGTGCGGGCTCATTTTCTCAAACCGCGACTGTTAATGGAGCCTACCACCTGAAGTAAACGTGATTAGTGACGACGACTCTATCTTTTTCGGATTTAGTACATAAATTGCAATTTCTGACTTTCAACTTGAAAATGATAACGCTTTCGTCCCATAATTTTTTTTTTGCGACATTCTAGATGCAATACATGTTTTCGATCAGTTTAGAATTACAAAACACCCCATCACGAAAAGGTTATTTTTTATCCATGGATTCCGTAAAACACCAGTCATGTTTATGCACAAAAAAGATCAACAGATAGCGTAAGATTTTTCTAGACAGGTTGAAGCATCTGCGGCAGCTCAATAAAGTTAGTTCAGGTTTCCACTCCTGCAGTCCTCCAAGAAAGGTATAGCTTAGTTTCCTTTTACCCCTTCCTTTTATCGTCGTTTGAAGCCTTTCACAGTTGGATGTGCTTTCAAAACTTGTGTTTTTTCAGATTAAAATGGATGTCAAAATAGTAATAACAGTGGTGTTGTTAACTGCAATTTATGTGACCAATGCGAAACCTATGGATGCTTTCCGTAAGTTAATTTAAATTTTTCTATTCACATTAAACGGTTAGTTTTTCTTCCTTTCTTTGCTCTTTTGATATTCCAATAGACTTGTACTTTTTAGAGAATATAACATTACTAGTCAATAGATAAATAACTATGAAAGCTTTTGGAATTGAATACAACCCAGTAATAGAGCTGATTTATTTTATCATTGTATTGGTTTGATGTCTTCGTCCACTTACCTTTTGTTCAATATACAAGACTTTCATTGGGAACCAAACAGGCTAATTCACAAACTCTATATTGACAACTATTTTCCGTTAATACCCTCATCAAGTAGAGAAGCTCGAACAAAAGCAGTTTATAACATGTATTAATTCCTCTCGCACGTCTTTAAAATATACCTATATCACTTCAATCGCTTTTCTTGGCATCAATATTTCAACCAGCGACAACGACCTATGTAACAGTGTACACTACAGTCCTTCAGATCCTCACAACAACCTCTAACATTCATTGCCTCATCCACCATACTTCCAAAAATTCACTCCATATTTTAAGGAAACTACTATTTCTAACGCTGTCGCTCAAAGGAACACACTCCCAGACACGTTGACAATGACACTTATTTAACATGCAAGATACACTGATAGATCAAAGCATTTAACAAATTTGTGTATTTTGCCTTTTTAGTTAACAGAGTCTTGAGAAGCAATCCACTGCCTTGTTCGAAGGAATGTTGCGAGAAGTGCTGTACTAACGTCTGCAACAGAGGCTGCATCTTTACTTGCTGTGCATCTCGCAATCTAGGCCCGTATCCACCTCCTCCTCCCCCACCACCTCCGTATCCTCCCCCGACCGCAAGAATAATTCCAGGCGCTTTAGGAGCCCCAGGTTTATGCGGATTACCAGGACCTCAAGGACCAAAAGGATGTCCCGGTTGTCTTGGTCCACCCGGACCACCCGGACCCCCAGGACCCCCTGGTCGTTAAGTCCCCCTGCTACCCTGGACATCCTGATGTCTCAAGGACAAAACTTTTTTTCATGTCCTCGTTTTGAGTAACTTACTTTGTTTTCTGTACAGAACATTTCTAGAGTTCTTTTTTCATCCCGTGTACAATAACATGAATAAAAGCAGTTTTCAGCTATGCTCGAAATTTCTACAATTTTAAAGTTCGACAAGTCAACACCTCCTGGGTGTATTGGGAACTCGTAATTGCCTACTTATGAGTTTGAGAACAGAGCATTGATAATAGACCTGCTACCCGGTGAGTATTTCATGTAAAATGCCACGATATGTCCCGGTCAAACCGTCAGTATATCATCATCATCATCATCATCACTTTTTTTATACACGGTAAAACATCAGGCAAATATACAATATCCTAAAAAAAGTTACAAACTATTGAATTAACAGTAAAAGCACTTACAAGATGAATGTATAAGATATAACACTCATTTCGTCCGTTGGCATATACGATACAATATTACTCTGATTTAGTAACAGAACGGGAACGTCATTGACGACGGGAAAGCGCACGGAAAGGACTAAACTCGACGTCCAGTGCCCAACTTGCCGCGCAGCCATTGCTCAAGCCAGTGGTTTGATTTGCGCGCGCCGTCGTCAACTGACATTCCTGTTCTGTTGCTAAATCAGCCTAATATTTCTTCGGTGAATCAGAATTTAGCTCAGCTTTGCACCTAGCTCCTCTCAACAATAAACAGAGTAGTAAACTGAACACCCGTTCAACCACCCAATATTAGTTGTAAACGGACTGTATTCTCCGCTAAGGGCTCTATGAAGGCACCAAAAACGTTCTCCCGGTAATTGCCGTCAAGGTGCGCATTTATAGTTGGATTTTAGTAGCTGGTTGCTTAGTCCTGACAGAAGGGAGTTCAAACTAAGGCGTTTTTGAGCAAAGCACGTCAATTGGAAGTGAACCCTTTTCCTTTTCAATATGCCTTGAAGGTACCAAATTTATATTGATAATTTTTTTTTACTCATATAGTAACGATTTGCCCGAACATTTCAACACAACTACTGCCAAAGAATGCAAAATGTCCACTTCCGGTTGGCGTGCGTCTCTCAAAAAAGCCTTCATTTAAGCTTCCTAGGAACTTAGGTTGTGAACGGCGCCTACTTGCAAACATCTCAACCAATCAAAAAAACGTCTAGTGGCATACATCCACGGAGAGTGATAAGCAGCTAGTCGGGACGGAACAATTACGTGCGAATTTATTGCAATAAAATGATAACAAAAAGAAACGAGAGAATACCTAGGGAACTACAATAACAGAGCCATTATCCTGATAAACTGCAACTGCGATTCTAGGAAGTGGCATCAGGCTAATAAAGAGTGTCTAAGCCTCAGAACGGCGACGTCCTGCTCACGAAAAAATATATCATGCCGGTTTCACATCCAACAGGCATAGAAATCAATCACTATAAGATCAATGTTTGATTACGCTATCAAGGGCGGGGTCTCTAGATAGTACTTCACGTTTGAAGTTGCATTGTTGCTTGAAGGACATGAAAGATGGATTTAACGGTAAAATACGTGCATGCCCAAGAACGTGTTTTTAGCTGGCGTGCTGAATTTCAGATGTGAAGGATATGTGTTAAGGGTAAACTACGCGCATGCGCGAGCCAGTATCTTCACTAGGGTGCTAAATTTTACATCTGATTTTCAGTTAACTTAAAGTCATAAATCTTTACTTCTCATGGTTTGTTTGCATGGTTACGTGTTCATACGTCAAGAAGAAATTTTTCGCTAGACATTCAGTCCTAGGTTCTCATTAGTTATCAGAAAATACGATTCCACTCACTTTACGACACTTGAACCGTGGATTTTGTTAGTGATTGCTGTTAACCGCTGATTAAAGACAGTGGCGGATCCAGGGGAGGCCCTCCCCTATTTTTAGACCAAACTGAGACCCGATGGGCCGAAAAAATGTTTTTTGGAGACCGCCCCTCCCCCCTCTCCCCTTATCTAAGGGTCTGGATGACCGCGCCCCCTCCCTTATCTCAAGGTCTGGATCCGACACTGAAAGAGATCAAGTTGTTTATAATTGTTAACCGAGCGAGCTGTTTATAACTTCACCTTTCGAAACCTGCTTCATATGAACGTAAACAAAAACGTAAGCATCAAAAAATTCACTTACCACAGATCACTCGAGTTTGACAAAAAGGATTTCTAAAGGACGTTTTCTACAGGGTAGGTAATAAATTTATGTCTTAAAACTAGAACACTTACAAAAGGTAAAATAATTCTACGAAAATTAATGGCTATTTAAATCTTCAAATAATCTCTTAGTACTGAAATTGCAGTCTTAATCTTTGTAAAGCGGAATGCAAAACAATGTCTTCTAACCTGATAACCTAATACTGATAAATTCTGCGTAAATGAGAAAAACAAGATAAACCTTTTCAGATACAGTAGGATGACTAGTTTTCTGGCAATTGTAGTTCAACGTTTAACATAAGAAATAACCACAGTGAAATCATTTTTCCTAATTTCCTTCTGTGGACATTCTCTTTCATGGCAAGATCTTGCGCGCTTTTAACCACCAAAATAACATAGTTTAAAAAGTTGAAATTGAGGAGAACAGAAGCTACTTAATTTGTATTTTTCGAAAAGAGAGACTATGCTTGTAAACAAACCAAGAGTTTGACTAGAAAGATCGATGTAAAGCATTACCTTTGGATTCTTTTTTTCAGGAAATATCATGGAAAAACTACTGGCTGTTTTATTCACTCTGGCTTTTGCAATCAGTGCCTCTTCACTGCACGGTAAATTAAAAGATTGTAGAACGTTTTTAGGCTGAGATGGGGACCAAAACGAGGCCCTAGAAATGACAGCGCTGAAATTATTTCCATCATTTCTCTGTTGTTGAGAAGGCAAAATTAAAAGTGGACGAAAGTTAGAAATATATCCAAAGAATTATCTACCATCCCATTCCATATTCAATAAGCCAAAAAAAAAACAACAGCATCAGCAACAAAAACAAAGCAACAAATATTTATAACATTTCCTCATCTCAACGTGTAAGTGCAACCTCTCGGGCATGGTATATTTGCTCTCATCTGATCTTACAGATGGCTGGCCGAGCATGCGCGCAAGATAGAGCGACTCCAGTGTTCTCAGGCCTGTAACTCGGGCTTGTCGGCTTTTTACATACAAGTAAAAATTTCCGTGTACGCCATATGATAATGAGTTTTTATTGACCAGATTGCTCCGTAATGAAGTGGTAAAAAACGGATATATATACTCCATAGGTGCTATAGTTCCTGATAAACAACTACAAGTCTGAAGAAATAATTCGCGCAGACTGAATTTCGGGAGTGAATAGGAAGAAAATTTAAGCGTAAACAAAGCCATTCTGCAGAAATGATTAAAACGAGTCACAATTGACATAACACTTAATCCACTTAGGCAATGCATGCCAGCAAGAGAAGAATAACGACGGTTGTCATTGTCCCGTTTTTATGCAAATCAGTAATAACATGCGTTTATTTAGGAAGTCATCACTATTACTACTAAAATAAATAAACTGCTATTTTCTTGAACCTTTTTTTTTTTTTAACAGTGAAACGCGACGCCTTTCCCTGCGGAACAAGCTGCAACCCCGTATGTTCCCCAGCATGTACGGCCACCTGTTGTGGCAGTCCACCGCCGGCCCCGCCAAATCCGCCAATCCCCGCTGTTTCGCCTATGCCAAAACCTGCCCCATCTCCCATCTACGGACTCCCTGGTCATCCCGGAAACCAAGGACCACCAGGAGTAATGGGACCAGTAGGATGCCAAGGGGCTCCGGGTCTTCCAGGACCCCCAGGACCACCCGGACCACCAGGACCCTGTATAAAAAGTTAACGTGAACACACATTTTCTGCATCAAATTCAGCGTAAAAGTCTTTGTCGTGGTTCATAAACAGAGGCATTTGCAAACAACAAGAAATGCAATTATTCTGACAATTGTTTGTTTTATTTAAAGACGCTTTTGATTTTTTTTTCAAATTTCGCAGCCAGTTACTGTAACTGTTTTAATGATACTAAGAAGAATGATGATAATAACAATTTCAAGTGTTGCTTTTAATCTGTTTGATATATTTGCCTAATATGTTTAACAAATACATCACATATCGTTGAAATTCTTGTATGACTTGCACCAAGGGAAGATAGAAAAAGCTGAAAAATTATACTGCCTGCTTAATCCACAAAAATTATTTTCGTCTGCCGGACACCCTTACATAAATGCGGAATAAAATAGCAAGTAAATGGAACAACCTACTCTAACATGTACCTATTTATTTACAGGTAACTTGTATAAGTGTTTCTCTTGACTGAGATTCTCAGCTGTCGGTTTTGTCACAGAATAGTTGTAAAACTGCACTTTGCTTTTACAATTCCGTGCAAGCAAAAACCAGCAGCGACCTATTCGATCGCATTTTGCCGCTTCCTTAGCTAGTCAATATTTACATCATCGTCTAGCTAATTAGTTCATCGTTAAATTTCAAAAGCCTATTGTCATTGAGCAAAGTATTTTCTTGGTTTAAATTTACAAGGCTCGATGAAAAAACGCCCGGTAAAGGACTGCTTCGAGCCATAAGGCCCACATGACCGGAACTAATTTCCCAGTTTCAGTAACATGAGGCACCAATGGGTTTTTCTACTGCCCCTAGACGAGATGCTATAACGTAACCCTGGCAGAATGCTGGTCCCCACTTTATGGGTGAAGGGAGAGAAATTGTAGCATAATTTTCAATCCGTGGAATGCCGCGGCTCGTTAGGGGGTGGGGCGAAGGGACGGATAAAATTTCAGACTACTACAGATCCGAAGTCCGAAGTGGGAATGGTAACGATCCCAAATTTTACTTTTGAAAAAACTGGCCCTCTCTAATATCTTGTAGTGTCGCATTCTCATAAGCGGCGCAAAAATGGTATTGTATAGCGAGCAACTATCAATAAACAAAAAGGCCGAGTTTCTCAGGCCTGATGCGCTGAACAAAATGTGCAGACGAAACGAAGACACCGCGCCTATAACGAACATTGAAGACAATGAGTCCTCTCGTTGCTTATACTCTGCCAATGTAGACTTCACAGACACGAGCCATGCAGTATGAACAAACGATTGAGGATGAGTTTCTCAGTCATCTGATGCAGATTCTATCCTACTAACATCAACTGTATCTTGTCGGTACGACGCATGGTTTAAACAGTTGAAATCCGAATCCATTACCTACGGAACACAGCAAAAGACGCAGTCCCTTTAGATGTGAGCAAAGAAAGCTTCGCAACACACTCGAAAGGATGTAAGAGCGAAGGCTGACCGACGAGACAAGTCTCCCACTAAACCCTCAATCGCTTAACAAAGATTGCCTGAGATTGGGCTGTTATCGTACAAGGTAACATCACCGCGCCCTCAGCCTCTTCATTGTTTTGCCAAATGACAAAAATAGACAAGAGAATTTAAATAAGATAATATGATGTGCTTCGCACCCTTTTGAGCGGAGTGTCGAGTAAAAGGCCAGATGGTGTTCTACTACACATGAGCAACCAAGCAGGACGTCGGTAAACGTAAGCTCTTAAATATGTCATGCATCACGTGTTTTTGTGAGTGATTTAGTCATAGTGAGCGATAAACTCACCGATCACAAACTACGAAGCAGTTTTTTTGAAGAAAAGATTATACGACGTAAGTATGTTTAAAATTTCCAAAGAAAACGTTTCTAAAGACAGCATGTTACAACCGCCGTCTTACTAGTGACAGTATTGGTGTTTTTAAGAGACAATCAAAATGTCTGAAAAGATTAATAATTTTTGGCCTCTTTTGAGACATTATTGATTGCGAGTTAACAAAACGAAACGCACGCATGCTGTAAACGCTTTAGCTTAAAACACAACGGGTTCATAAAAAGTATTCCTTATATCTTCTTTTCTTCAGGGTTGTCATGGATCTCCGCTTCCTGTTACTGATCACACTTGGGTTGCTTTGCTCCGCGGGCGCGTTCAACAGTAAGTAGTCGACAGGTCTTTCTTTAGTGTCACGTTTTTTTTTTATGAAAAACGATTTATCGCATGATTTGCTTCTAGCCGTGCAGTAATGTATGTCCTAAGGTGTCTGGGTCTTAAACAGCTGAGAAAAGAGCAAAAACTTCACTAACATAGTCCGAATAATATATTATAACAGTACTAGACTTTTGGAAGCAAAAGAACTGTGAAAAGACAGGAAAATCTTAGAGGATTTATTTACAAGTGTTTATATCCACACGGAAATAATTATTGTAAATGGATATTTTGTAAACAGTCTCTAGAGCTGCATAACAGTCGCAAAGAAATATCATTATCACCTTATTTGTTGCAGCCAAAAGGCAACTGGGAGCAGCGGGAGCAATGGGACCAATGGGACCACCGGGGATATTAGGAGCAAGGGGCCCTATGGGTGATCCCGGACCGCCAGGACCCCCTGGAGCTCCCGGACCTCCTGGACAACCCGCCCCACCCGGCCCACCAAACGGCTGCTGTCCCGTTTATGGGAAAAAGTGAAGAAATGAAATGGAAAAGACCTTTTGTGTTCTAAACCGTTCCCTTTGAGTTTCTTGTAATTTCACATTGAAAAGTAATAAACTGAAGAACATTTTGAACAAGACTGGAACATTTCCTTGGGTTTTGTTAAATTAATCTGCCAGATAACGAAATTTTTGAAATTCTCAGAGTACTACGATGTCAACAAAAGGAGAACCAAAAACATCTCTCGGAGAATAAGACAACAGAAACCGAAAGAACTAATAATAATTAATAACTGGGATTCCAGAAGAGTTGTAACTTAGTTCTACAGACGTCTAACCATTAACACGAACGTTCAACGGAATTTCCATGAACGATAGAAAACAGCGACAGACTAGGGGATAACCGACAAACCGAAACCCTGGAACACTGCGGTCCTCCATTTCGAGTACGGGTAAGATAGCCTTGGTCAAGCGGCACAGCAAACCTCTAACAAATTCTGATCCTTCCACCATCTCTATCATTCTTTTCATCTGTATTAGCGTCAATTTATTCTTCCTCGGCCATCGCGGTTTTGGGTTACTTATTCTTCGTGTGGTATTGCAGTTCTCTTACACTGTAACCAGTATCCGGTGTATCATCCGACAGACATTTAGCGTTTCCTCTGTGTCATTTGCCAAAAGAGGACGCGATTTATACATTTTCAAGACGCGCAATAAACGTTAGCCTTGTTTTTTGGAGCAAACTGGAAGCAGGCATGCACTGGCTCAAGTAAAACCCGTTGTAGTCGAGCCAGCAGCCGTATAAGTGCCTAACATTGAAGGCTACTTCAGAAGCCTAATGGTATTCGTGTTTCAGACGATCAGATTGATTTTTAAGGTAATTCCCTTGTTTTGCACTGCGCATTACCTAGTGCGCATAACATTGCGACTGCAAAGGTAGCGATAATTTTCACCGGTCGCCTAAAAAGAGGTAATTATGGACCCTATTGTAGTCCTAATCCTTTCAATGGCGATTTTGATAATTCCGCCGGGCTAAAAAGGTGTTTGTCTTGAAACTCGCCCCATTCCTCTCGCCCAAAATTATCATTTGAAGCCGGTGGAAATTATCCCTTTGTTGCCGTTTCGCTATGAAAAGAGAACGGTGACCCCCTTTTTTGCTTGTCTTTTTTACTCGTTATGGCCACAAAAAATATCTATATATATTAGGGAGAAAAATATCTGGATAGTAGAAGTTGTATTTTTTATAGTGAATGACGCGAATTTCCGCATTTAGAGCCACAAAGAGGTACGAGATGGTGATAAAATTGTCCATTTCTCTGCAGTTTTTCAAGATCTGGTAATTTGAGGTCTCTTACCTGAAAAAAATATAGCCCCGACAGACAAGTGATCTTAAAGGTTTTAGTAAGATTCACAGTTTTTGCTATAAAATAAGAATTTTTGACGGTTGTTTAAGTTTCGAACACTTCGCGGAACTGGAAAAATCACTCAGAATTACAGGCACACAAGACGAAAACAAGCACGGCGAACTCATCTTTTTAATGCAGTTTTTTGAATGTTCTATATATAGCTGACATTTGTGCCAAGTTTGAAAAAAATCTGTACAGTGCATAATTTTCAAGGGAATTACCTTAACGCTGTTTAAGTGTTTTTAATTGCCGTCCATTATCAGTTGAAAGCTGCACAATATGCGGATAGCCCTAGTCGCCAAGCCAGTTTTAATAATGCAGATGCTTCGAGGCAACAAAGGGTAAAGACGAGATTTCTTTTGTTATTGTTATATTTCAAAAACTGAGAATACAATGACCAATCAAAGTTCAAATTTGCCTTCGTTCACGCGCATGTGCACGTCAATAAACAGGCGATGTTGTAAGGGCCGATCAGAAACAAGATCGTATTTTCAAACAAAAAGCAATCGGCCGCGATAACTTAAAGAGACAGAAGGTATTTAAAAGCGAAAAACAAAAATAAGAAGTTTAGTTAGGATAGAGAGATTGTCGTTTTAAACAAAGAACAATCGGCCGCGATAAGTTACAGGGGCAGCAGGCCTTTAACGCAAAATTGAAAATTACGAAGCGTAATTTGAATAGTTTGAAACAAAAATATAGCCTGGAGATCGATAAAAAAAGTTATAAATTCAATTATGGTTTCTGCTGCTAAAATGAAAAATGTCGTCTGATGCTAAGTCCACTCAAGTGTTACGGAACAATCCCTTAGGTGGAACCTTTTCTGGTCTTTAAGAGCTTTTATTATACTACCTCCTTGAATGAGCAAAATTTCTCTTGTCCTTTTGTCTTGTAATGGACGATCCTCATAGTTAAGGTCAAATGCAATTGATGTTGCATTTTGCGTAAAGCCCTTTGGCCATAACGCTGTTTGGTTCCTGCTTTACCATACACTTTCTCTTCCTTCCATAAAAAATTCAACACGAGAAACTGATGAGAACAATGGATAACAACCGGTACCGTAAAAAACCGGTCAATAACCAAATGTTTATTCTTACATCATGAGTAAATAATGAAGCTTGTTGTCTTGTCCTACTTTCACAGCTTCGTAGAATCAATAACGAACGGCTGTTTCTACAGACAAAAGAAAGAGCTGTCGAACATGAGGTACGAACTTAATTTCTTGGTAATTTTAGAGACTTAGTTATTAGCAGTTAGGTTTTTATTTGAATTTTGACTCTTCAACCAGAAGAGGTTAAAACTGTGTGAGTAGGCAAAAAAAGTGAAACTCTTTAAGATCATGAACCATAACGTTAACGAGCCAAAACAATTTTAACCACAATTCATAGTTCTCCCAAATCATGATCATTAAGGAAAAATGTACCATTTGTTTATTCATTTTTCAGGAAGATGGAGCTTAGATATTTCATAGTTTTGGTCCTCCTCGGGCTTGCCCTTGTGGACGCTAAGTCGCTTAAAGGTAAGCCAGCCTTGTTGGATGTCGCGATATGTGTTCATTAGCTGTAGAGTAGTAAAAGTAATAGCCACTGCAGTGATGAATTTTACACAACGAGCATTTTTGTTATGTGCTCGAGAACTCATATGCAGTCCTTGGCTTGTAAAGTGTGTGATTTCAAGTTTAGAGGGGGCTTGTTTCTTTTACGGTTAGTTAGACTGAAAAAGTTAATATTTTATTCCCTAGAACAGTCAAGCTAAATTGAACAATAAGCTAGTTTGTGGTCCACAAAAAAGGATCCCCGTTTCTTCCCAGGTTCACTGAAATTGATATTTGACAATAAAGGAATCACATACTTAATTTCAGAAATTCAAAGCTGGTCAGAAAAAGGACTGTTCACAAGGGAGTAAAAACCACATTTCCCCCGTGATGTCCACATTCTGTGTTGTAAAGCGTAACAGTACAGATTTAGAATTCGTATATGTTCCAAGTGACTCATTATTTCATTTAGCTATAGGTTTACAGAATTGCAGTTATGGTACATTCGAAATATCAATTACTCTAAAAATACTAGCGTTAATCATCAAAACTAAATGCAAATCGTGCCCATATATCCTTATCGCACAACAAAGAAATCAGGAAAGGTTGTTTAAGGAACTCAATAAAGTCTAGGTTGGTTCAAATCAAAAATGTCAGTTCTGGGTTAACTACATCTTATATACCTGGCCTTTGTTCAAAAGATGGATAGCACTATCCATCGGATAATTATTAGGGAAACCAATTGCGCTATTCAGTGGAAAGTGATTTATTCAGTAGATAGCGCTATCCACCTTTCGAAAAATTGGCGCCTGTAGTATAGGTGTACATTTAGTGACTCAGGGAACCCATTCACGAACAAGCATCTTGCCCTGTAAAATACTAGAATCGTTTGACTTCTTAAAGACCACTCGTCTTCAAAGACATTAGGATCACTCTCTAATAGCCGTTGTTTTTCTCCACATCTAGAAAAACAACTCAAGAAATCCCATCACGGTAAGCTTCTAAAAGATCTAATTTCTGCAAGAATTCATCCGACAGGTAATAGAAAAGACTCACTTAATGTTTCACAGATTTGGTCCATACATGAAGATTACGACAATTCCAACACCTGACGGTTTGTACGACTTGTTTAACAAGACGACTGCTTCTTTCCATACTATTTTACTACATACGATCTAACTTTAAAAACTGAAAGAGATTGCATGTCATACTAAATACGATCTCACTTAAAAAACTGAAAGACAGTACATGTTGACAGTAATTTCTAGCCCTTTGCATAAATAGTTTCTGGAAATGCCAGCCAAAGAGAAACCACGATATTTTTTAACCATGGCATAACTGCAATGAGTTGAAGAGTCCTAACTGATGTGCTATACTCTTTCGCCGATTAGAGTTGATATTTAACACCTTTATTACCTAATAAGGCAAACTATTTTATAGAGGATCGCGTACTGAAATATTAGTTATGTCATACTTTATGTATTATGGTATAAAGCTGATACTACATGTAACAATGTGCCAATTAACATTAGTATTCTAGTGATATTAGTGTCTTGGAAGCGCACAAACTTCCTCCACTTTAGACTGAAGCAACCTAACTACCATAGACAATGTGATATCATAATTTACGTAAGTCTCCTTTTAATCAGTACAGTTTACTAGAACTGAACGGACACTCTCCTGGCTCTTGTTGGTATATTTTAAACATAGTAACTGATCACAAGTGTCACTTAACTTTGCTTAATATGTCTCGAGAATAAAAACACTCAATATTACAGGAGCTAACAAGATGAGAAAACAAGGAAAAACGACAAAAAAACCCCGCTAATTCTCATACTGATCTTGTCTTTCTTTATCAAAATATTTTCCGGTCTTGATTTGCTTTCTTTAACTTCTAACAACAGAGGAAAAGAAGCACGATGAACCACCTCCTACAGACGAAGTTGCGGACGATGCTTCAGGAAGTGCTGGTAAGTGGTATCCCCGTGGTTATGTAAGAGAAGTTTTCGCACCGTAACGCATTTTGACTTAAACCAAGTAGAAGAGAATTATCTTGAATGAAAATATTCCGGGGTTTTTTAAATAAACAATGAGTAATAGCCGGCATCCAAATTATAGGATAATGGAATCAGTTTAGGTTTCTGGGAAACTGTCCACCTACCCCTCCCCTAAGCCAGAGAGGTTGACTTGTTAAAGTGAAATGTGTAGTGTGTGTTAGCGGGTCTCGTGTAGAAGCAATTAATGGACCACAATACAACACGAGCAGTAAATCCAGGTTTGTATCAAATTGTTAGCATCTGAACTTTGGGGTTTTTACAAATTTCGGGCATAGATAAAAATGTGAAGTTATATTAAGCATCTACAATAATTATTTATTTTCCTATAATTACATCTGCCTGGTGGAGTTATGAAAAATGTTTTCCCATGGCTAGTCAACTTCAGGTTTCACACGATATCATACGTTGAAAGACATGATTGTCCACATCAAGTTTTAGCTTGAAAAACGAAATACAAGACACAGCTTTTCATCTAAAAGAATCACAAATGATAAATATATGAATTGCACATATTTGAACCGCGGGATGAGGAAATAATGCAGAGAAGATCATCACTGTTAAACACCCAACTTATGCAGCGCAGTTGCGCAAAGAACCTAAAAAGAAATTCAGGCTAGCCGGATTCGAACCCTGACCTCTGGGATACTGGTGAAGCGCTCTGCGCAATTGAGCAAGCAAGCCAACTGGGAGCTGGTCGTTAAATCACATGTAATCACTTGGCATTCTGCCGCTAAAAAGTCTTATTTTAATATTTTCATAGGTGGCGAATCTGGAAGCGCAGAAGAATCTGGTGGTAAGTACTTGTTTTTTGTTGCGCTTATAAATTTAACTTAAGTTTGCACGGGGCGAACCTCGTAAAAAATATACTTATGTGCGAGATAAGATGTTGTTATGATAGTGACGTCAAATCCCCCGAAAATCATCTCATCCTGGTAATAACAGAAAAATGAGTAACAATGAAGCAATTTTGAGAAAAAGAAGTAAAATGAAGCAATTCTTTTAACTGAGCGAAAACAAACGTCGGTACACAGCTGATTCAATAAAGGTTGCTTTGGGCATTGAGAATAGCGCAAAGGGAGCTATTGTTTTTTGGGCAGTCAAGCAAATCATTGCAGTGAGTTCGGTATGTTCAAATGACCAGTGCCCAATTGCCAAAGTAACCTTTTTTGAATTAGGTATATATACGCACTATGAACTGTCTTTAAAAATAAGATATGTTAATGTTTATCGCATGTGTCAAACGCTATTTCGTATGTCCCCTCCTGGTATGTCCCAAAAAGCCTTCGTTTTTGCACACATAGGTTATTGTCATTTGCGTTTGATGCGGCTTCATATTCTAACTGAAATTTTACATTTCCTTTTTTTCAGCTCCACCACCAACAGAAGGTGCAGCTCCTCCGCCTCTAGTTGTCCCTACCCCCACTCCCGAGCCACGACTTTGCCCCGCCCCTTGCCCACAGGTCTGCGCACCCGCTTGTATGGAGAACTGCTGTAGCACACCTGTACCTCCTCCATGTGCCGCTCCTGCCCCCTGTCCTATGCCAATGCCCATGCCCATGCCCATGCCAGCACCCATGCCAGCTCCTTGCCCCACTTCCTGTGCCCCGTTGAACCTTCCATCGTGTTGCCAGGCACCTCCCCCACCCCCTCCCCCTCCTCCACCACCACCTCCCCCTTCAGGTCCTCCGGTTGTGCTCTGCGGACAGACCTGTGTAGATGGCTGTGGACCTCAGTGCCCCCCACAATGCTGCAAGCACCACAAGAGAGGAGACCTGAAGAAGGGAGGACGCAAACGACACCACTAAAACGACTTTATAACCACTCATAAACTCAGCTGTAAATAGAATTACATCAATTGCACTCTCCTCCATAATTATACACAACGTGATCAATGCTGCACCCCAGGAGTACTATCACTAGCTCCGATCGTATTTCTGTAATGAATTGCATTTTGATAAGCCAATTATTTGCACTAAATTGTAAAGTAAATTTTGTGGTCTTTGCAAAGAAAACTACGAATTGATTTTATAGAATGACTTTAAGGAATAAATTTGCGATGATTAAAACATTTTGGCATATGTTTCTTTATACTTTGAAAGAGGCAGTATCATGCTATTTAGAATCGTTTTAAAAAAACTCAAAAGATTTTTATCAACTCGCTTAAACTCGCGACTTTATCATCACTTTTATCACAATCATTCAATTTTAAACTCTAACCTCCAGTAGTTTCCATTGAAATGAACGTAGAAATATCTAAATTTTGTTTTGTTATACTCTTAACCCACGAATTACACGAGTCAAAGTGGACGCCTTTCTTCTAAGACAACTTAAACGGATGGTTTTAGACAGCATGGTAGAGCCTCTTTGACTAGCATCTTCTTTCTGCTCCAAGGCTTCCTATCTTTAACTTCTCACTAAGCTTTCTAAGCTTGTATATTTGACAACAACAACAAAATGCAAACCAAAAAGTCGAAAAAGCTAAAGAAAGAGAAATGAAGCACACATTTAGGAGATTGAGTTAAAGCTCGGAAGCCTTGAAGTGTTTATAAGCTTCCGTAAATTGCAAACAAATTTTACATTTAAGGTAACAAAATGTGCTCTTTACTTCTCTTTTTGGCCAGAAAGGTCAACTTTTGGAAACTTTAAGTAGTGTTGTTGTCAAAAGTGCAAGCTAATCTTTTCCTTCTTCTGTTTTTCTATAGTTTCACCAGAACCAACCGCAAAAGCACTACCATATAAGGTAGTTGGTCCGCTGGGAGGCCACCCACATCCGGGACCTCCATCGGCGAGCAATCCTTGTCCACAACCTCGATACTGTGATCCCGCCAGATGCAAGGATCCAATTGGTTGTGCCCCTTCATGTTCAGATATCTGTTGTGCGGATATTCTTATACCACCCCCTACCCCTCCAGTAGGATCCGGAGCAGGTCCATGCCCCCAGACATGTGCACCAAATTACCTCCCTGACTGCTGCATGGGAGCCGCACCTCCTATGGGCCCGGCCCCAGCATTTCCCCAACCGGTGTATCCCCCAATGGGACCCCAGCCGGGATTTTCGCCACCCGCTGGTCAGATACAGCCAGCATTTGTCCCTCAAGCGCCACCTGCCTCATGTGATCAGAGTTGCTACGCAACAAACTGTGCACCACCCTGTCCTCCGACGTGCTGCCGTAGAAAAAAGTCTTTGATTCATCATCATCGCAAGACGAGATCTATAACGACAGGGATCGCCATGTGCCATTAGCAATGACATCAGAAAAAAAAAACACACATCTTTAGATAAATGTTGTGACCACTTTCGGGGACGTCATCTTTAACCCGAACATTTTAAAGAAACAACATTTCTGATACTTATTTTATCCAGTCCATGTGACACTGGTTTATATGAACCCTTGCTGAATTGTCTGCAACACAAGAGGGTATTTTTCTTAGGACTTAAGCCGATGAAAAAAATCTTAGCAAAGTCTTCTTTCATTGGCTAGACAAACAATTAAAAATATGTTTTAGTGTACGACTGTGTGCCTATACTACTCTTATTTAAACTTTATTTCAACGTGCTAAAGGGCTTTGCATAGAACAGTAGTCACCATTATACCTTAATTCATTATTTTATAAAGTTTACCTTTCACACAACACATTTCATTTAGATACATACAAATTCTTCTGAATTTTTTTACGGAGGGATACATTTGAAAAGTATAAGCAATTGGCGTTTTCATTTTTTTGTTTTTTCAAACCTGTATGTGGCAGATACGACAATGATTTCGCCAGGCAACAAATACACACATACTGAAGTTAGTAAATATTGCTTGGTGTTGTGCTTGCAAATCAACCAGATCACGCGTCCTCTTAAGCCAACGGCAAATTGAGATTGGAAATGAGCCCAACTTTCCGAACAATAAGCCAAGGAAAGCTAAGGCGGCATACCGTAAACTTCCACTTATACCCGCCCACCACCAACAACAACAACACCACCAGTGGTATAGGCCCATCTATACAGAAAAAAGGTTATAACATCGACAAATCTGTACTATAGAACGACAGGGAAAATCTAGTCTGTCCTTAAAAGCTCCGATGGATCTTTCGCATTTTATTTCGTCTGGTAATGCGTTCCAGACTTTTGCCCCAGTGTAAGCAGAGCCTTTTCGGTAATACAACGTTGTATAAACCCAGAGCTTATAAGCGAAAGTTTATGGCATAAGTAAAACAAGTTCAAGATCCAGCCACCTTGATCTCACGCTTGGTCAATAAAGGTTTTATTATCAGTGACCAAAAGACGACTTCTTGGGGGAACAAAGCGGGAAATGCCGATTGGACAAGACAGACCCGCTCGAGTAACCAATCAAAACACAGAATTTCTCCCACCTTGAATGCTCGTGGAGCAAGCCATACAGTAAAGGATATTAACAAACTGAGCCCGCGATACGGTCAGGCGATTCTGGTCAGCCGATACACTGTTTTGACAGCTGTCAACTGATCACAACATGGATGGTCACATGGATGTACAATATCAGGCTGTAGGCTCCCAAACTTGCAAGAACGTGTGAGATTAAACATTTCCAAAAATTGACAAGAATTTTATCAACATTTTCAAGCCTGTACAAATATTTGTACTCGGATTGCATATGTCTTAGTTCGGGGAGATTTTTCTCTGGTCAGGTAAAATTCAGTTATTTCATAAGCAAACTAAAAATCACCGGTACCTGTCTCTAAATCCCAATTACAATTATTGTCGAAAGGCGGTCTTTTACGTCTTTTATCTATTGACTAGTCTTTACTGCTGTTTTGTATTTTCCAAAGCAATAAGTTTCTAGTCTATCTCGGGCTGACACTTTTAATTAATTCTACAATATTTAACAAGTTTAACTATGTCAAATGTTCGTATACTCTAAATCCTTTACTCATCCCCCTCTTTCGATTGCCTAAAAACAAACGCATGATCTTTTCAAATCTTGTTAGCTTGTTTGTTATTTTTTAGGTAACAGCAACCACTTGCAAATCATTTGATTTCCGTTAGAATATAAGATACCCTCACGTTCTTATTTAACGCCGAGAATTTCTTAGCTCAAACTTGGGAGGTTTCTGATTGGCGGTAAAAATTTGACTAGCAACATAGCGGGTAAATTTTCAGATAAATTATTCACGAATACGATCTCTTGTGGCTTGGTAGTGAGATTTCTTTGTGCTATTTAGTTGAAAATTTTGAAAATTTGCACAAGGATACTCCTGAAATGGTCTTTTGAAAAATTCTACCCTTAAACACGTTTAAAACATAGACCACACTTTGACCACATTATTTTCATTTTGTACCGAAATCGCAGAGGAAATGAGGAATTTGTTATTCCGAGTTTTGTTTGTCGCCCTCTGTTCGACTTTTGTCCTCTGTGTTCCCGCTGATGACTCTGATTTTATCGACGAGAAGGGAAAAGCTTTAAAGAACTTAAAAGGTGAGGTTAAAATTATCATTCCCCCTCATTTGAATTGGACTACATTTACAAGTAAATTCAAGGCTACAAACCATTCTCCTACCGAGTCCATTTTACCTGTCGACTCAGGGAAGTTCATTTGAGACGTTGATGTCACATAGTGAATTGGTTGATGATCTGCTGCGTGCTGTTTAACACAAATTAACTCAATCCCTAAAAAGTATTATGTAAGCCCTCAGCAGTGAACAATTCATACTTCAGATCAGCAAAACCTTAGATCTATTGTTGCTGTTCTGTCTAGTCATGAGGTCAAATTTAAACAAACAACGCAACTCTCTGTCAGATGCATTATTAAGTCAAAATCTCAACTTTGAATATCAACACAAAATTATTGGAAAAAGAATATTTCAGTGTAGTAAATATTTGAGACACTTCAGTTTTAAAGTCAGTTGTCAGTTTGAAAAGGGCATAGCACTTATAGTCTTATCGCATGAGTTCACGCATTCACACCTTGGAGAAATGCAACTCTTGAAGGGTGTTTCTAGACCCAATAAAATATAGGGAAATAGAGAAATAAGGGTAGGACTTCCAGCAAAGTTTAAGTAGTATCAATATCTAGCCGAAGATAGACGTAATGAGTTTCAGTACATTCATACCGAAACCATAATATATTTTGTTTAAAAGAGTTGACTATTCTGTCAAGATGTTATTGACTTAAATAAATATTCAGTTATTCTAAGATGCAATCCCCAATAACAATAATAATGATAGAAATAGAAATAATAGTGATATTAATGAGAAAAGGAATAATAATTTTGAAGTAGAGGTGCTTGCTTTGATTGCTACTTGGATGTTGTTTTCCGCGTTTGTTTGCTTGTGTTTTTTATTGTTATTATTTTTTTTTTTTTGCTGTTGGTTTTGCTGCTGTTTCTGCTGTTGTTGTGGTTGTTGTTTTTCGTTCACTCTCTACGGCAAGGACGATTTGCCGATCAGTTACACAGCAAATTGCTTGGCAAATAATAATAATGACCCTGAAAATAACCTCCAAAGACAGGCAGTGGACATTTCTAACAGTTTTGAGTATCAAGGCTTTTGCAACTAGTCTATTCAGCTTAAGTGATTTTTTTTGGCCCAGGCACAGATTGCATCCATAAAACGAAGGACTGATTTGGCTTTTATTGCCATTTTTCAGTTGTACCGGGAAGCAAACGAGACAAAACAGATTATCACACAGTTGAACAAGAAGCCGGCAGAGCTGTGCTTAAGTTGCTAGATGCTAAAATAGGTAGGTACAAATTTATTTGGATTAAACTATCTGCTTGTATGCGTTATCAGACGGTGAGAGCTTATCGGTCTGGAGACCAAGGAAGATTGAAGATTGTCTGGTCTTTGGAACAGCAGATATACAATTTGTGGTTTTAGTGAGATTACAACTGCAGTTGTTGGTTGAAAGTAGAATTGCTGTTCCTGCCCCCCTCTCCCCGTACCATATTGATAACACTATTGCGTGACTGTATAATTATCTAGATTGCCTAATGTAACAAACTCGAAACATTCTCCTTTCGACATTTATTGAAAGCGATGTTGACATTGTTTGCCCCCCCCTATTCAACACTGTTTCGACATCTCGTAACAACAAGCAACAAGTTGACAACTGGTTCAACCCCGATTAAATTAAGTTAATCTCTAAGGAGAAGAAACGCTCAAATAAAGCTAATGTTTTAGATTCCGTCGCGAAATTTTTATAAGGTGAAGGAGTCTAAGGGTTCGTCAGGTGATTTAGGATGGCGATAAGAACGTGACAAAACGTTCCAGAGGAGCCCGGGAGCTCGTATCTGCTATCTCTATTAAGCGTTAGATTGGGGGGTGGCAGTATATGTCAATCCCTCCCCTACTCGTTTCTTGAGAGTGTCACCTTCCTTTGCAATGACCAAAGGCGATGAAATTTCAAGGCGATGTCCCATACTCTTCTAGTGCCGTTTAAAAGTCGTTTTAAACTTTGGCTTAACACCGTCTCAACAGTTCTTTCCTTTTTGAAATGTTGAAGCTGTTTAATCCTTTCTATCAACTTTGATGAGTGATATCGTTTAACACGACGTGGTCTTCACGTGTCTCAACATTCTCCAAAGAAGTCTTGAGACAATACTGAGACCGTTGTACTGTGATTGATTGTACTTACTTTTGTTTTCGTAGGGAGGAAGGTTAGTGACGCTGCCAAGGAGGTGACTGATTTTCTGAACGACGCAGTCGGTACGTTGGACAGAATAGAGGATAGCACTTTTCTCCCAACTCATGAGTAAAATTCTCTACCTTCTATATTAAACATGTAATGAAAGCATGGTAGAAAAGATTACGATGAACTCCGAATGTCATATCATTTTAAACTGTAACAATGTAAATGGCATACACGATACGGTGTTGGAGACATACCGCATATTCTTTAACACGATACAATTTAAGTTTAGTTGTACACTTGAGCCCGCGATACAGTCAGGTGACAATGGTAAGCGGATACCCTTTTTGACAGCTGTCAATTTACCATAACATGGATGTCCATAAGGATGTCCACTATCACGTTAAACACAGATTGTATATGACTTGGACACCTAGCCACTATTGCCCGGTCCTTACAAGAGAATTATTACAAGGAAACAGCCAATGAGAGCGCGCGTTCTATTATAGCCGTATAATAAACTCTAATTCAATTTTTGTTTTAAAGGTCATCATGCGAAGCAAAGGGCCGAAAAGATACAAGCCGACAAAGAGAAAGGTAAGAGAGGACATTAAAAATGGAAATAACTTCATATTCATACTTCACGTTCCCTAAGTCATGTCAACGATTGCGAAAAATGTCTGGCGGTGAGCTATCTTGGTTAAGACATGAAATAATGAATCATACGAATGGGTTGCATTTGGCCACAAACTTATCAAGCTGAAATTTAAATCCCGTTGGTTTCTCCACAGAAATGTCATTACTTCACCTCGGAGCAAAGAAAATTCTATCGAATAACGACGAGGAAGACAAACCTAAAAAGAACAAGGACGGATCTTTCCTGGTGCACTTTAAAATCCCTTACATTGTAACACCAGTTGACAGCAAGAAACCGAAGGCCAAAAAGTTTCACCATAAAAAGGTCAAGAAAGTCCATCACTTGAAGAAATTTCATCACCGTATTCACAGACATCATCATCACCATCATCATCATCATCCGCCGGCGCTGGATACTAACAGCCTTGCAGCCCCAGTGCCATCACCACCCAACCCCCCACAGGCACCAGGTAGGTGTGATAAACAAGAAATAACCCCTTTGGGTTGTTTTGTGGCAGACTGTTGTTCCGCGTTAGCATAAAACAGGAGATAAAGTACAAAAAATGCTCTAGGAAGCATATTATGTCTCTTACAAGATGTGGCCAAGCCAATTTTAGATATTTTTATCGTTGTTTACTCCTTCCTATTTCACCCTATGTAAGGTAATCCAAGACAGTCTTGGATTCTGGGCTCCACGCGAAGGATTCCGGATTCAAGGTACTGGATTCTGGATTCCTTGTCAGTGGAACTTGGATTTCAGATTTCCATCGCTAGCAGGATTCTGGATTCCTTAAGCTAAATTTCTCATTTCAAAGCCCAGAATTCCGGATTCCACGAGAAATAAATTCCCGGATTCCTGATTCCACAAGCAATCCTTTTCCAGTTTCCTAAATCCGGATTATCTTACATGGGGTGATCTATTGTGTTATTATAATTAGCAAACACACATTCCGTACATACCATCAATTCCACCAGCATCATCACATCACTTGGTATCATCACTATTACCACTGTCATCAAGTTGTGTCATTTCTGTTATAAAATACAAAAGAGAATCCAAAATAGCGTTGCTCTCCTACACCAAAAAATGTAGCAAAATCTACAATGTACATGAATGACTCCTTAAACCTTAAAAGACTGAAAAATCAAGACTAACAATAAGGCTGACAAAGTAGAAAATGTGAACATACCGGGAATTATATTTATATTAGAATTATATTGCTTTTTAATTACAGTTTCCTTTTTTTTTCACGTAATCGTTCGGTTGGTGGATCGTTTCAACACTGTTGCAATGATGAAACAGTCTTAGAATGAAGTATTGGCAACGTGAGAAACTGTTTCAAAACGTCTTCTAGTTCCGAAGCAGGTAGCGAAAAGCGGAGAAATGTATAAAAAAAAGACTGAGAAAACTATTGACGTTTACTGGTTCAAGTGCGCGCCTTCTCGATCTCTAGAATTTTAAACGGTCAATTAAAGAACAACCTATTTTGATGATGGTTAAGTAAAAACTAAGTTGAAACTATTTTTTTCCAAGTTGAACATTTGCACCATAAACACTTCAACAGAACTCGTCACATAAAGAATCATCACCATCATCATATCAATTCTCATCATCACCCACATCATAATGACCATGCGCTAGATGATGACAGGCCTTCATTTGAATTAGAGCTGCCAGTCACCAACGATTCACAGTCACGAGGTTAGTTTCGATAAAAGGTTGACAAAGAAGAAAAGTAATAATCAAGGGGTAATTATTTGCAGATGTATCAACATACATACTCGTAATAAAAAAGAAAACGCTCAGGTATAGAAGCTTACACTCATAGTTGTACAACGGGCGGGCTAACTAATATTCCAGTTACTATTTCCCCCGTTAGAAAATTGAACACTATAAGTATGTTATGAAAGAAAATTTTAACAGATTTTGCGCAGGCAAGGTATTTGTTGGCGAGATTTATGAGCATTAGGTAGCGGCTCAATATTGATTACGACTCATAATGAAGTTTGTTCGCCAGCTTTGAAAATACCACCGAGCACCCAATCACCGATTATGGTTTCCTACAAAAACAATATAGAAACAAAAGCTTACAGTTTTGCAAGAAATTAATCATCTTTTTATTGGATATAGCTGCTCAGCCTCAGGCCACCCCTCAAAGTTACAACGCCATTGATATGACCTTTAATGGATACAACTGGACTTACAAGTTCACCAATGATAGCAGTATGGATATGGTCCCTTGTCAAGGCAACTGCATGGGCCCATGTACATCGCAATGCTCCCTCAGTCAGGACTGTTGTTGCTGCGATCCCAACATGATGGCACAAAATCAAATGGCTCCTGCCCCAGCATACCCACCTGTAAGTCAAGGAATATCATGTTCAAGGATTCGTTTAAAAGGCCCCAATATGTCAGTCCAACATCTTCCTGCATGGTGTTCGGTTCGTTTGAACGAGACCAAAAGTTTAACCCATTCAAATAGTCCATGGGCCAGGACCCCAAATTTGATGATTTGGTACCAAAAAGAGGGACAAAGAGCGGCTTATATTTTTAAAAACTATGACTCCTCTAGTTTATTTTAATGTATGATAACCACGTCAAATTAGTAGTTTTATAGGGTTTATCACGTGATGAAGTGACGTCACTCAGCTTTCAACAATGTCGAATAAATGTACGTACATAAGTTTTTACTCATGTTTTTACTCATGTTATGGGGCACATCTAGATGATTAAATGGTACCACTGTTTTGCAAGTGATTTTCGAGGCTTTTGTAGCAAAATTAGATGGATTTTGGTTTTGGTTGCCATGGTAACGTAGAAAAGTAGCCTTTTGAACCAGAGGGTCGATAAAAACTAAAGTAATAAAGATTAATTGTTTGAAAAATCTGTTAAATGATAGTTCTAGATAACAACTGGATACTAGCTTGACTCAGGTGTTAAAGCTACCTATGGCGCTGCTATAATATGAAATTACCTTTTTGGCGGCCATATTGGATCCGCCATCTTTGATTTCCAAACATGCCAATTTTGTCCCCTAAAGTGCCCAAAAACGATCAAAACTGAAAGGAACA